AAAGTGCTAGTTTCTGACAATCAGCATGAAGCAGGCCGACATCTATTTCATGGCCAAATGGCGTCAGCTTATGACTCTTCATAAACCATGATAATTCTGATGGGTGTCTTTGTGAACGTCTGTATAAAATAATTTTACTTTTGCTGTGGTCCCAAACCAATTGATCTTTGAAGCCAAATGTTGGTTCCTGGGCTGGTCTTTCCCAAATTGCTGATGAATATTCCTAGTTACAATGTTTGTACCCCATTTGCTTTCTGAGTTAGCATTTGTCTTCCCTTGAGATGGGACCATCTAGTTTCTAATTGTTAAAGGTCCAGATCATGAAAATCAGTACCTTCTCTCCAAGTTGACTGTGTTGCTGTGAACACAAAAATAATTCAGTATTGCTTATCTATTGCCACAGTCCCAAATCTGGGTGCAACCTGCTCATTTTTTGACACTGCATTATTATAAAACTGACTCATACTGTTAGAGACCTCACCATTTCCCTTTGAACCCTCTTAGGGCAGTTTCCTTGAGTCAAATCATACCCAAAATGAGTCATAAACAACCCTTTCACTGTTGTCTTTTTAAGTGAGTACTTTGGTACCAGTGTCATAAATTAATGATGTTTTGTGATGCACTTTTGTTTCAGAGCTCTAGAACTCTTACTTTAGCTGCTACTGTATCAATTAAATATATTTTCCTCTTCTACCAATAAATCTTTAAAGAGTGACTCAACATGTTCTTTATTACTCTAAGAGTAGTCAGACCAGGAAAAAAGACTGAATTAGAATTTCAGTGTCCTATGCATTTTCTTTTTACTTTATTCCAGAATAATTTATTGATTGACATAAATTTTCTTTTACAAAGAGTGACAGTTAATTGTCAAAGATTTTTTTTATCTGGGATTTTGATATGCTCTTCTAAAGCACTTTTTATTCTTTTTCCAAAAAATTTTCCAATGTATTTATTGAAAAAAATACACATAGGTAAAGCAAGGTCTTCTAAAACACTTTTAAAATGCTATAGATGATGAGAGCCAATAGGAGAGTGAGAGCTTTTTAACCCTTAAATGCTTGTGTTAGAGCTATCAGAATAATGTACCTAGTTTATTGGATAAAATGAGATAATAACATATATTTGCAAAGTATCTAACACATTGTCTGAAGTACAGCAAATGCTAAACAAATAGTCATTATCATTATTATCTTCTAATAATATGAGAAAAAAACATTGTATTTCTTACTTAGGTCTTCACTGGGATCTTTGCAGCTGAAATGGTTTTAAAACTGATTGCCATGGATCCATATGAGTATTTTCAAGTAGGATGGAATATTTTTGACAGCCTTATTGTGACTTTAAGTTTAGTGGAGCTTTTTCTAGCAGATGTGGAAGGATTGTCAGTTCTGCGATCATTCAGACTGGTAAATATAGTACCATCTTACCAATATGTATTCCATATGTAAAAGGGTGTTTCTTTGGCTTTGCATTATTATTATTCAAATCTTTAGGAGATTTGAATCAAAAGACAGGAGTAGGTAAATATCTAGTAAAAGTTGGTTCAATATCAACAGTACTTAAGAAGCTGAAAATGACATGGATATTTTAATTTTAGGATCTTGAAGACATATTGTATACTCTAGGACAGAAGAAGTGGGTAACTAAAGTGTTTCTTTACCCAGTAGGGGAATAATTTATTTCACAGTGAGATGCTTATAGGTTATAGAATTTCAGCCATTATAATATGTTCATTACTTTGTGGGTTTGACAACTAAAGATCAAATTGTTGTCACCAAAACAATCGTTGTCTGATACCAAAATTACAAAAAAGTAAAGACTTTATAAAGTATTTTTTCTAACATGTTGGACTTCATCCTTATGTCAGTGTGAAAATGTTTATAAAAATACCAGAAAATTGAAGTAAAGATAAACTGTCAATCTGAAGGTGATAATATCTAAAAACATGGTAAGAGGCTTCTATAGCAATCCTGAACTAAAGTTACACATTTTCTTTAACATATGTGTTGTAATTCTATTGTGCCACGTATAACAAAATAACAGGAATAGTGAAAATAGATGAAAGTGAAAAACAGAACTCATTGATATTAGCTAGGTAAAAATGACAATATTTTAGAACTTCAAATTTGGAACAAAATTCAAGATTGGAAACTTGGAAAATTGTTCATAATAACTCATATTAAACTTTCTGTTTACTTTTAGCTCCGAGTTTTCAAATTGGCAAAATCCTGGCCCACCCTGAACATGCTGATAAAGATCATCGGCAACTCGGTGGGGGCCCTGGGCAACCTCACCTTGGTGCTGGCCATCATCGTCTTCATCTTCGCCGTGGTCGGCATGCAGCTCTTCGGGAAGAGCTACAGAGATTGCGTCTGCAAGATCTCCAGGGACTGCGAGCTCCCGCGCTGGCACATGCACGACTTCTTCCACTCGTTCCTGATCGTGTTCCGCGTGCTGTGCGGGGAGTGGATAGAGACCATGTGGGACTGCATGGAGGTCGCCGGTCAAGCCATGTGCCTTATTGTTTACATGATGGTCATGGTCATTGGAAACCTGGTGGTACGTAAATTCACACATTTAAAATGCTCCAGAGAAAAATTGATGTACGATGATACAATCGGTTATTTTATAATTTTAGAATAAATTAGATTTAAAATGCTAACTGCATTTTTAACACAGGGAAAAACAGAAAATAATAAAATACTGCCTTAATTTCCCTACTGATATTTATATTTTTCACAATATTTCTCTTAATGGGAAGTGTTCTACGTTAGTCTGTCATTTTCATAGTGATGTTATGTGAATTATATCCATGGTTTTCATGTCCCCTAAAAGGCTATTCAAAGATGAAGTCATACTAGTAAATAGAATATGATTAAGTTAACAGAAATAGAAATGAAAATGGAGCAAGGCAAATGAAAACTAGTCCCTCTACATCCCGTCACATACAGGACTGGCATCTAAAGCAAGATCAGCAAATCATGACCCTGGGCCAGATGCAGTTCACTGCCAGGTTGTTTATGTCCCTGCAAGCTAGGAATGGTGTTTACATTTTTCAATGGTTAAAAAAATCCCAAAGAAGAATTTCATGGCACATGGAAAGTATGTGAAATTCAAATTTCAGTCTCTGTAAGCAAATTTTATTGGAACACAGACATGCTCATTCATTTACATACGGTCTGTGGGTGTTTTACTCTACAATGGTGGAGTTGACTTTATGTCCTACAGAGGCTAAGATATTTATTATCTGGCCCTTTACAGAAAAAGTGTGCCCACCATTGCTCTACAGCACCTTTTACAATTGGTCTGCTTCTCTCTTAGTGTTTTCTTGGCTTATACTCTTTCTCTATATGTTTATTTCTTCCTTATATCTGCCTGTTAGTGAAAATTTGCAAGTTTACAAAGCAGGAGAAAATTGGGGTAAGATGCTCTTCCCTGACTCACTCAGTTCAATTTTCAAACCCGCCCTGTTGGCTTGGCTTAGTTTGTCTGCTCCGCGTCAGCCTCCTCACTGGTATCCCAGGAGGGAGGGCATGGTGTGGCCACGTGGTTTGGTTATTACCTCCTTCACTTCCCACTGGCTGGAAAATAAGTTGCGGTATTTTTTTTGTCCTGTAGTTCCCATGTCAAAAGTGATTCAGAACTTAGGACAGAAACCTACATTCATCAAGTCATGTACTAAATGGAACTGCTTCATGCCATTAAATGGCCGGACATGCACATAGTAAATTATGGAATGCAAACTAGACTCTTACTGAACATAATACAGACGTCATGGCTTAGGATTAGAATTCTGTAATTCCTGACCATCTTCCAGCTGTAGTAATACATTTGCTAGTTTTATATAGGCCTGTGAGTCCCTTCTAATATGAAATGCATATTCTCTATGTGGTTCTTCTTCAATTTAAAACTTGAATTCATAAGCTCCTATAATGGGATCTGTATGTGGACTTCCTCTTTCAAAATTTTGTCATAAAAGGGCTGAAATGTAACTCTTTATAAGATACAGGATATCAAAACATACCATACCAAAGCGCCATTGGTATGTAGTAGTGACATGTTTATAACTCACTCAGGGGGCTTCATTGGACTCTTTCAAATTATTCATTCAAATATTTTTAGTACATCTCTATGAAAGGAAATGTGGCTAGGCATTGTGGGGTGATTAAAAATACATACCTATAAGATAATTCCTGTCTTTGAGGTGCTTACAGTCTATTAGAACATAGAAGCATGGTTATCAGTTAGGGAAGCAAAATTATCAGTTAGGGAAGAAGTAGTAAAAATAAAATGCTCTTGACTCTTGGAAGAAAAGGAGATTCAAGGAAGGAGTTTTGAGTGGGTCTTTGAAGAATACATAATAATTAAGTATGAACACAGATGTAAGAGTAATGGTTTACTATGAAAAGCAATATAAATTTATAATTAAAAATAGATGGGATATATTGGTGAGTGTTTAATCCATATAGAATTGCCAATTACTGAGTCATTTATCCTCATTAATTACTAATAATTCATGATAATGAAAGATAAAAGAAGCTTAATTGACAAAGTTGATAGCCAACTCTTGATTAAGGAAGTACCAGTGATGTAGAATTAGAGTCTGGAAAGAAAAGGAAAACAAAAAATTAAGTGTCTAAGATAGTCCTCTGCATATTAGAGTTATATGCTGAAGAGACCTTTCTGTTTTTGTTTCTCATTTATTCTTTAGGCCATTTAATTACCAAATAATCAAAATGGTTAAAAACCATAAATTTTAGATTCTAATTTAGAAAAACAGAGGATTTTAGTAAGCTCAAGTCCATCAGGAAACTGGTGAAGGACATTAATCAGAATGACACGTGGAGCCAGATAAACATTTCATTAATATTTATTTCCCTGCCTAATGGATACATGTTGCAGAATGGACGTCTTTTCATTTGTATACAATAGATTATGATAAAATATTTGAGTCTTACCATTTTTGATGGAATGAAAGTTATTGTTAGTACCAATCCTCAATGAAGATGTGAAACAACAGCAGCATATTATTGAAATACGTAGAATCTTTCAACAACAGAGACCAGAATGGTGGCTCTCAGGGGCTGGGGCTGGGGGAAATGGGAGATGTTGGTCAAAGAGTACAGAGTTCCATTTACAAGATGAATAAGTGTCCAGGAGATCTAATTTACAGCATGATGATTGTAGTTAATTGTACTGTGTTTTATATTTGAAAGTTGCTAAGAGCATAGGTCTTAAATCTTTTGTTTTCACCACAAAAAAAAATTTGATGGTGATCACGTGACATGGAGGTGTTCTCTAAAGTTATGGTTGTAATCATTTTGCAGTGTATAAGCATATCAAGTCAACATGTTTTAGGCTTTAAACTTACACAAGGTCTATGTATCAATTAAATGTCAAAGCTGGAAAAAAATGAAGCTAATGACAAATTTGAAAAAATTCTATTAACTCATCCATTTTGACTAAAGAGACCAAAAGGGTAAGATGAGCCCTTGGTATCTCATCAGCATTACTATTAAAACATCCACATAAAGAAACATACATTTCAGATTGAATGAAATGTATTTTCTCATTGATCATAAAGTCCAAAATGAAAAACTCTTTCAGAATTCCTTAGTGACTCATCAGAATTGTTCCTGTGGTTGTCTCTTTGACCTTCCCCTCATACTCTTCTCTTAAACCAAACATATTAACATAGATGTCTTTAACCTTTGTTCTTCTACTAACATCTCTGAGAAAGTATTGTGGGTGAGACCAGAATTAGGGGTGATTCTCTTCTCCTCAATTCAGTCTATTTTTGATGATTTTAATATGAGGTAAGATGTTTTTGCCCATGAAGAGATATACATGAAAGGGTATTTCAATTATGTTTTTATTTCCTATTAAAAAAGAGGTTTAAACAGAATTTACATACTTTCATTCCTCTGTGATAATTTTTTTTATTTTTTTTGTAATGTTGAGTGAACTTAGACACCTTCCTCAGGGAGGAAAAACAGATGTGGCTTTGTGCATGAACAGAATTTTGTTTTAAGGATAGGAGCGTGCTGATGTCTTCTATAATCTCTCCAAATGCCAAAATGATTGGCAATGAAGCGACTCAATCATAATGACATTATCTCATTTGAATTGAGTTCAATGGGCAGGTCCTTTTCAATGCTTAAAAAGCCTTATTAATTTGCAAGCTGTCACAATTCCTGGACAGAATATTTTATTACATGAGCTCTGCAAGAATTATATGTTCCATTTGTTGAGAGAAATGACACTTGTCTTCTGGGAGAAGTGAACACAGATGTTGGCCTAAGTTACTTGAGCCCAACAGTCACTAGTCACAACTGTCTGATTCTACTTGTTTGTCACAGGTGACAAACATTAATGGTGGGTAGATGTTAGGAGGGCTTTTGGGACCCATCAAAGGGAATTTGACCAAGGGACTCATGCTGCAGAAATGAATTTAGGAATGCCATGCTGAATGGTGAGGGGGCACCCTCCGTGCTCCTCATATTAGTCCTTCATGCTCACGGCTGACGTCTGCTCCCCAGGGCTCAGAGGAGCCGGCACACAGAGAGATGGGTGAGAAGAGCAGCCACTCCTCTTGGCTGACACTTGTTTTTACCTGTGTGTTAGGAAGGGCAAGGATCTTCACTGCTGTTTTGGGTTTGGGCCTGTAGTTCAAAAAAGTGTGCTTATTTTCTCTTTTTTATTTCCCATGTCCCTGTTGCTCTACATCCCACCCCCAACCTGATACAGGTCCTCAACTTGTTTCTGGCTTTATTATTGAGCTCATTTAGTTCCGACAATCTTACAGCAATTGAAGAAGACACCGATGCAAACAACCTCCAGATTGCAGTGGCCAGAATTAAGAAGGGAATAAATTACGTGAAACAAACCTTACGTGAATTTATTCTGAAAGCATTTTCCAAAAAGCCGAAGATTTCCAAAGAGACAGGACAATCAGAGGATGTAAAGAATAAGAAGGAAAACTATATCTCCACCCGCACACTTGCTGAAATGAGCAAAGATCTCAAATTCCACAAGGAAAAAGATAAAACCAATGGTTTTGGAGGCAGCATGGACAAATACTTGACAGAAGAAAGTGATTATCAATCATTTATTCACAATCCCAGCCTCACAGTGACAGTGCCAATTGCTCCTGGGGAATCGGATTTGGAAAATATAAACACTGAGGAACTGAGCAGTGACTCAGAGAGTGAATACAGCAAAGAGGTAAGATTATTTTATACACATGATGTTTCATATTATTACTTAGTCTGAAATGAATCAGTTCATATTTTTGTTCAAAAAATGAAAAGTTTGTATTTTTGCTGTCACAAGTGCTTTCTAGTATTGCATACTGATGGGTAGATTTGTGTGTGTGTGAGTTTACACAATAGCTTTCTGAAGGTTTATCTGGTAAGGTTTATTTACTGGTGCTTAATAATTGATTTAATCCTACTTAGATTTGAAAGCCCCAGGTAAGCCTGAAGTCTTCCCTGCCTCCATCCCTGTGTGTGACCAGTCGTAAAGTCACGTACAGTCTCTTCCAGCGTTGGCTGAATCTGCTGCTCATCTTCATCACCTTCACCTTTGCACCTACTACTTCTTGCCTAAACCAGTCGAGGTAGAGTCGCAGATGGTGTCTCTGCCTCCATTTTCCAGCTACTCTAGTCCACTTATGTGATTCATTTTACTCACATTCAATCCTAATCATGTCGCTCCTTTGAAGTATCCTTGGTCCCCAAAGTACCCTTAATTACAGGCTATAGATAAAGCCCTTGCACAGCTTGTAGATAAAACCAGCTGTGTTGTCTAGTGCCCACCTGGAGCTCCTGCACCTGGACCAAGCCAGCTTCCTGCTGGGTTGCAAACATGCACAGTCTGCGTGACTTTGCCTGGAATTTCCTTCTTCAGTCAAATCCTACGCACGTCCCTCAAGACAGAGCTCTCGGCTTCCTCATGTATAAAGTTCTTTGTCCTGACATAAAGCCGGGTAAGGGTTGCAAGAATGAGGCCTGTAGAATGCTTAGAACAGTCCCCAGAGTGCTCAAATGTGTGAGCTATTGCATCCCTCCTAATTTCTCCCCACAAATACAATAATCTCCTCATCTAGAACCTCATCCAGTTTGATTTCTTTTCCTGAATATAGCCTTGCATTTTAATTTTTTTGAGAAACGATATGCATCAGAGAGTACTATAACCTCACTGAGAACAGGGACCTTTCATTCAAATATTTTGTGTGTCCTTCCCCATGCCGGGTTGAATATATTCAAAGTATTATTGAACTGTGTTCTTATTAATATAGAATATAATAATTATAGTGAGTTTTATAGCAAAGCATTTTTATGACATCTCTTTAAAGTTTCGAAATATCACTTTAAAATATTTTTCCCTTCTTTTGTCCACGTTTGAAGGTATTTGACAGTAATTTACCACATACTTTCAATCTGCTTAACCCTACATTAAGATCTGTCTTCCATGAGTTTATAGTGGATTTTGGAAAAAAGACACACAGTCATATGTGTGTGTGTGTGTGTGTGTGTGTGTGTGTGTGTGTGTGTGTGTGTCCTGGCCGTATGACTGATGCTGGGGTCATAATAAAATGCTCAGTATTTACTTACTGAGTGAATAGATAGTTAAATAAATTCAGAATATTTATTTCTACATAGCCAAAGAAATTCTTTCCAAGGTAACTAAGGAATAAAATATTTTCTTTTTTAATTTTTAAAATCTTTACATGGAAGGAGTCTCCAAAGTACAGAAGATCTAGTTATTTTGGGTTGAAGGTAGAAAAATCAGGTTCCACATAATCCTTGTCAGGAGCAGTAATCTGCTCTAGTCCAAGTGGAGAGGGGAACTAATTCAATTACCCATTTTTTCTGCCAATGAAGATTAGAACTGAAGAATCCCAATTGCCTGGCAAACATTCTGAATCAGCTGGGGATCCTGGGGATTCAGGCACTTGGGCAGTCTGGCTGAGTCCACCGAACACTTTGTACATCTTAGTATCTGGGAGGAATCGTTTTCTTTTGCTCAAAGCCTGTGTCTGATCGTACGGGGATCACCTTCATTGTTGGCAAGAGTCTTATTCTTAGTATGTTAAATGTAACATTTTATAGGGAATCTTCTGGATCTGCCCACTTTGAACCTCATGCTCTGACTGAGAGAGCCAGCTCAGCTGGGGAAGTGACTTCATGCAGTCATCAGTGTAGGTCAAGGCAGAGCCACGTGACACAGAGGCAGTCCTGTTTCTAGCTCCCTTCCCTTGGCTTTGTCTGTGCCACGGAGGAAATGTAAATTACTGTTGGAATTAATACTCAGTGTGGCTCCCCTGGAGTTTTGGGCCATAACTGTGAAGAATTCACATACCCCGTGGCATCCAGAAGGGGTTTGTGATGTTACAGTGGCCAGCTGCCCTTTATAACAGTGATATAGTCTGTAGACTATTTGGTTACTGAAATAGATTATTTTAACCTCCATGAAGTTACTCTGCAGCCTATCCCATAAACTATTCCTAAAAAGTGTGAAATCTAGTGCCCTTAAACTGTGTTATCTAAAGACCATTTGATGATAACATTATAAGTATCTTGATTATCATTTTTTCTCATGACATTATAGTCGTAGCTACATGAGAAAAAATGTGCACTTTTTGGTATCTGTGCTTTACGTGGTACTATATACAGGAACTCAGAACTACATCATAGGTTGTAATAAGGAATATATAAGCTAATTTCTTTAAGTCATTTAGCACAGTATCTGAATTGGTAAGCCCTGAAAAAATGTTAGCTATTCTGTTTATTATTGAATTCATCATCATTATTATCATCTAAAAGTTCAGATTTAAAATTATGGACTTTAAAAGTTTGCCCTTCTTCCTAAGAAATTTTCTGTGACCTATGTCAAGGTGTGTTATCTTGAGTGTATTCAAACTTTTGATTATATACTTTACTTAAGAAATAATGAACTTTCAATATGTATAGGAAATTTATTAGATAACTTCACGATAATAGTAAATTGTCACTAAATGTGAAACCCTGTGTCTAGAGTTTTTCTCTCCAGCTGCTTGATATTTAAATATTCCTAGTTATGACTTGCTAGGGTTTTGTTTTTTCATTTGGATCACTAAAAACATGCAGATTTTCTGTATTTATCTGAAGTTTCTCTCTTAACCTTTCCATGCTAATTCCCTGCATAATCTCCAGCTCCCACCTTGAGTTCCCAAACTTTGAACTTTCTTATTTTTCCGTGAGTAAGGAACTTCCTTATTTTTTTCTTTGAAGTAGTGATTGCCATGTTCTTGATGAACCTTGCCCAAAGAGGCAGGTCTTGATTACCCAATGCAAGTAATGCCCACTGCAGTACTTCCAGGTTATTTGAGTCTTAAGCACAACCTTGGGGTTTGGTTAACAATGCAGTCTCTGGATATGGACTCCTTGCCTTAGATCCCAGCTTCCATATTTACCAAGTATGATCTTGAGCAATTTACAAACCCTCTTTTTTTTTCTTCTATGTTTCCTTATGTACAAAATGGAATTGTAATGAAGATTAAGTGATTTTGGTAAATAAACAAGAGCGTTCTGGAAAGCAAGTGCCCAGTTAACAGTTATGGGTAGTGAGCAGTAATGTAGACACAGTGCACTGCTGTGCTACAGACTGAATTTAAGAGGTGGTGTGAGGTAGAGCAATGATCCCCAGTTCTAGTGTGTAACACACACTTAGAGAGCATGTTAGGAATGCCAATTCTGGGTCAGAGCCTCTGAATTCTCTCTGCCCCAGTCTGGATGCAACCTCAGAACCCTTACTGGCTGTGTTCCCAGTGGCCTTTGTGATGGATTGAGCTGGCCTGGGAAATGACCCTAAATCTGTCCCATGCCCATTTTGAGCAAGGTTTCTGAGAGAATGTTTTCTTTATTCAGGGGATCGGAGTATTTCTTCCTTTTGCCTGTTTAGGAATCTGCATTTTGAACAGGGGGAAAGAAATCTTGGCCCTTTCATACTTTTCCTTTTTCTCACTCCCCACCCTGTCCCACTAAAGAAAAAAATCCTCAAAAAAATTAGCATCCTGTTTTCCCATTATATTTTATGGAGACTTTTCTGTCCGCTAGTATCGGCTCTCAAATAGGCAGATTTCCTTGTCCCAACAGACAGATAATATACAACCTAAGATGAGGTAAGAATATTTTAAAATAAAACACCTGACCAGAAAATGACCAAATAACTTCAGATGAAGTGTTGAGTAAAATACCTTAAATAGTTCTGAGGAAATAACTGGCAACAGAACATCAGCAATTCTCCAAAGATAGAGTCCATCTTGGAACTGAGAAAGACATGCTGTCATCTCAGGTGACCAAGGAGAATAAGGCTCCTGTCCCTGCTTCTCAGGAACGCCACCGGACTGATGGCCCCTCTCAGTCAGCCTCCTCCAGAGGCCCCGGGCAGCCCTCTGAGAGTGCAGCGAACATTAACAACACACTGTGCAGATACTGACTGTCAGCAGTGAAGTGATTCCTTATCATGAGCCTCAGATGAAGCGTGAAATGTACCCATTCACTCAACACAGCTCTCCTATGCTCCAGGCCCTGTGCTAAGAGCTGCTTAGAAAAAAAATTTATTTAACTCAGTTGCAATAATTTAATGTGATTGTGATTGGCATCTGGCTTACATGTAGTTATTTATGTTACTTATTTATTTTTTTACTGCACCAACTCTCACAATGGAAAACTAAAAAAAAAACTGACAATTTTTTTAAATGGCAAGTTCCTTCTTACAGATTAAAGAATCTTTCTCTTTGCTTTCAGTCATTATAGATATTTCTTTCTCTGCAGTAAAGGTGAAAAAAAGAAAGTCAGTTTAGAGAATTGTTTCATTGACTTTGGAAGGATATGCAAATTCCAGAGGAAAAAAATTAGATTTATCTAGTTTATTTATCCAAATATTTAAAAACAGTAACAGCTCCATGTGAGTTGTTTTAAAAAAGAGTTTTAAAGTAGTGTAAACTCTTATAGCTTACAGCTTATAGAGAAGCTCCTTTAGTCACTGTAAATCTAATCCCCAAATTCTCTGCTGCTCTTTGACAAATCTGTCTACTTATCAGGTTGGTTGAAGTGAATTTGCTCATATTGTATATTCAGCAGAGAGGAAAACATTCTGCATAAGCATTTCCTCATAGAAAGATTCCCCATTCATTTCTTCCTGAGGCCAAATGCAGATACTTAGCTACACTTAATAGTTCCTTAGTGTTTTGAAACATGCTATCAAAGTTGTGATGGAATCAGCTGAGGTCCTTGGAGAAAGGAGATCAGTGAAACCTTCACGTTTTACCTAATTAAACTTCCCACCTTTAAGAGAGTGTCACTTGAAAGACTAAGAATGCATTTATGCAAAACTTCCTGTTTCATACGTAAGCAAAATCCATAAAACCCCTCGTTAACTTTGATCATTGCAGGGGAAAAAATTACAAAGGAATACATCTGACTCTGCTTTCCATAAACCACTGGTGTCCATTTATTTAACCCACATTTAGAGAGCACATGCATGTTGCCATGTTCCTCCGGAGACTAGGAACTAGACAGCAGCACGGCCATGTCTTGATCGATGCAGACCCGAGGCATGCTCTCTGGTACTGTCTTAAGTGACAAAGGTAAAGCAAGGTTCCTGCCTTTGAGGAGAAACAAGATAGAAACCAGAAGCTATAACTGGACATACAAAACATAAAATAAAGTAATATTGTTTATAAAATAATAAAAACAAAATATTGAGGCAGGATAGAGGATAATATAACTGATCTTGAAAATAAATTAGATACTTCACAGAGGACATGGCACTGGTGGGTTTTGGGCAGAAAGAAATACAGCAGGCAGATCAGGAGAGGCCGGAGGCAGGAGAATGATAGAGAGGGGAAGAGAGAGGAAATCAGAGGGGGTGGGAGGGGAAAGAGGTCTTTCTGATTAAAGAGCCCAGCATGTGCAGAAGCAGCCAGATGTAAAAAAGCCCATAAATACAGATGAGGCTGGTCTGGGCGGAGGAAGGTTACTGTGGTAGCCTAGAGTCAGATAGGGCAAGGCTTCACGTTCCGTGCCGAGAGATTGAAATATGTCCCTTTTTATTTAACAGAAATAGGAGACTTCAGGGTCTTGCTTTGTTATATCTTGTTAGCAAATTTATATTTTTAAAGAAGTTTACTGACAGCAAGGTATAACAAGGGATATAATAAAGCCCAGGAGGGGAGAAAGGTGACAGGATGGGAAGCTACTAGAGTTACCAAAGTACAGTTGATGAGGCTCAAACTGAGCGAGTGATGGCGGCCGTGGGGGGTAAAGTCTGAGATGCCCTCGAGTCAGCATGCAAGGGCTCGGGGTCTGGATGGCATGTATGAGTTGTGAGCTGCTGCAGAGGCTGTATTAGTTTCCTGTGGCTGCCATAACAAATATGACAAGCTTAGTGGCTTAATAAGACAGAAGTTCATTCTCTGACAGTTCTGGAGGCTAGAAGTACGAAGACCGAGGGGTTGGCGGGGCCACACTCTCTCTGAAGTCTCCAGGGAGGATCCTTCCTTGCATTTTCCTAACTTCTAACTTGCTTTTCCCAATGACCTAATGGTGGGTCGCTAATCCTGACATTCCTTGTCTTGAAACTCCATCACTCTGACCTCTGCCTCCGCCTCCCCACGGCACTCTCCCTGTGTGTCTCTGTCTACTCTTCTTAGAAGGACACTATACTGGATTAGGGCCACCTAATGACCGCATGTTAACTTGATAACATCTGCAAAGATCTTATTTCCAAATAAGGTCATATTCGAGGGAACCAAGGGTGAGGTCTGTCACATATTTTGGGGGGAGATACAAATCAACTCACAACAAAGGATGTTGGATTAGAAGACAGATAGATACGGATGCTATTTAAAAATATTTAGGGGAAGGAGACAAATTAGGAGGTAGAAGAGACAGAGAGTTTAATTTGGAGGCAACTTAATTGTGAGCTACTTGCAAGATAGCCAAGTAATGGCTGAACGGTAGGTATTTGGAAATTTAAGTCTTTAAGTAAAGAAGAGAAACCAGAGCTGCAGACGAACGGAGTTTGCATGTTGATTGATGTTGACCATGGGAGTTTGCAGGGAGTCAGCCTGCAGTCAGGGTCCCTGGGAATCCAACTCCAATAGAGAAATCTGTGTGTAAGAGATTTACTCGGGGGTGTTCTCAGAACACCTGTAAGAAGTGATGGATGCGAGGGGATGGGGCAGAGGAAGAAATGTAAATGCTCTGCAACTGCCAGAGTTCCCGGCTGCTCCTACAGGCGTCCCCCGCAGGGGGGAGGATGGCCCTGAGACAAGGGGGTCGGGCCTCTGCACCTGCACCGATCAGTGTTCGAATGCAGGCTCTCCCTCATCTTTCCCGGGGCGGAGGTGTGGCCTGGGGGGAGGCAGCTCTCTGCTGCATGACAGTCCCCACGGACAGGCTCCGCTGTGAGCCTGCAGCGGTCAGCACCCCCGGCAGCTGGAGGAATGGGTGGCTTGCCTGCAGTACTTCACGGTGTCTGCTGCACTGCTGGGACCAGAGAAAGCAAGAGACAACTCAATACTTGAGATGGGAACACAAAAGAAGAAAGCGCCTGAGAGACCAAGGAAAAATTGTTTACTTTAGCTGTTCCACATGCATGATAGAACTCCTCCTTTCACGACCAGAAAGTGGAAATTATGAATTTATATTTACAGATGACTGAGATGCTAATATATTAGGAAATGATGCTGATTAGTCACTGATGTGTCTGGGGGTCTTTTTAAATTTGAACTGCAAGCTTTTTACAGAGCTTTCTATTATTTACCATAGAAAGGCAAGGAGTGTGGAGAAATAGAATTATTTTCTGTTGTATCCCTGTGATGTTGCTGGAGAGATGTTTTCCTACCCAGGATCAAGTTTTCTGTTGTAATGGTACTACATGTTTGCTGATTCATTTTCAGCTTCTAATCTTCTTTGATTATTTAATCTTTGAGCATTTACTAATGCTGATATATTATAGTCTACCTTGACAATGTAATTTAGAGTAGAACAATACACATTCCATAACAGAATAAAAAACCAGCCCACTGAAAATGCACTGAGTAAGGGACTGTGTCAGGTTGAAGCCACATGAGAGGAGGCGGCCCTTGAGCCAGAGCCTGTAAGATGGAGATTGTTCCATCGGGTGGATATGGTGGAGAAGGAAATCCCAGGTAGATAAACAGACATTCATATTGTTTACCTGACACTCATTCATCAATCCATCTACCCATTCATCTCTTCAGTGTTCAATTTTGAAAGCCATCATCTTTGGGAAGACTTAAATGTGCTTACTTATGAAATGCATTCCTTTAATTGATTTGATAAAGTGAAGTATTTGCAGTAATCAAGGTTAATATTTTATGTCCTTTTCCTATATGGTGGTTTTAATTGTGTTTTTATTGGATCTCTATCTCTTTAGATTTGTTATAGTTTTTTGCTCAAAGAGACATTTACTTCCTTCACCAAGAAGGCAGTTTAGATTTATTCTTCTTATTGCATTTTAGAAAATACAATAATCTTTTCCAGAGTTGTATTGACTTAACAAGATTACTTACAGTTATACCTTTGGGAGAAGCTGGCATTTTATTACTATCTTTTATGCAGAGCTTCTTAAAAAAAACAACAGAATAAAACAAGACTCCTACATCATTTTACGTAACTTTTTTTTTTGTAGATCACTTCCAAACTACTTAAAAAATCCTTTATTGGATTTGTTTCTGTATCTAAAAACAATGAAATTTGGTCTGACATATTTAAATTAATGTTTCTTGTTTTTTATATTTTGATAAATTTGAAAACATCCCTTTTCTGCAATGCTGTTTGAAATATCAGAATTAAATACATATGACAATTAAAAATAAATCAAATGCTGATTTTAGGATAGATTTTTTAAAAGTACATACTCCTACTATTACCCCACTCCAATACTGAGAATCATTTATTTTTAAATATTTGCTATAAAAAGCAAACCAAATGGAAAAGATTGCCTTAGCACATTATAGTTTTAAAATTCAGCTCCTAAGTGATAGCATTGTATAACTGTTTAGTTGGTTGTTTTTAAATCTATATTAAATGATAATCTTACTACTGTGTTTTTAATATATTGCTTTGCACTGAGCATACATTATGTATTTTCAAATATAACAAATTTCTACTTACAGGTCTGTGACTTCAAACATTTTAAATCAGTTGACTGCATTTCTAAACTTCAGTACGTAACCTTCTTCTCACAGGGGTAAAAACAAACTGGATCAATCAAGGATGCCCCTCTGTGCTTTTAACCAGGCAGAGACATATGTGACCACTTTTACACAGGTTATCTAAAAAAAAATCATACATATATGATATTTTTTTTCAGTGTCATGCATGCTGTTCAGCTACAAAATCTTTCTGCTTGACCCATTGCAAGAAAGTAGAAATATATACAATTGTTCCATAGATAAATTGACATCAGAGCATGTCACAGGGCAAGTCCATCATTTTTTATGATTCTCTTGATGCCTTCCTTGATATTATCTCTCATGACCTTAGGTGATTTCAAGTGCATCATCTATAGCTTTTTATTGTATGGATTATAAAGTAAGATACAGAATGTAACAGAAGCCACTGAAGCAACATTTCATTTGAAAACCTCTATCAATGTCCCTTCCTGATTTTATGTATGTATAGATGTATATCACATTAAATTGTCATATTTATTGTTATGAGAGTAGAGTATGTTCTCACCACAACAGTAACAAAGTGGTAATTAGGTGAGGTGAAGGATGTGTTAACTGACCTTCTTGTAGTAAACATTTCACAATATATACCCATATTGAACCACCGCATTATACACCTTAAACTTACATAATGTTATATGTCAATTATACCTCAAAGTGGAAAAAAATAAACTGTTACACTTAAATTCAGTAAATTAAACACTATTAAGAAACAATTTTTTGTGGAATAATATTTCAGGCATAAACAAAATCTCAAAACAGTGAAAGACCATTCTAGTGCTATCCGTTTGTTCACAGAAATTGAGACTCATACAAATAAGCTGTGTTCTGAGTACACACCCAGAAATTTGGAGACAAGAGGCAAAGAACCCAGCTTCTAGGCCAAACTTTGAGTATATTCTGAAATGATTTTAAGTACAGTGATAACTAGGGCTTTATCTCTTTAAATTAATTCAGATAACATGATTTTTATTTGATCATATATAAAATGCATGTTAAAATTTAATAGGCCCTGCCTGTGAATGAATGAGTTGTAAGTGCTTGAAATGCTCAGCCTCATTCCAGAAGCAATATTATGCATGGATACGTTTCTGATTATGTATTTATCTCATGAGGAGATATGCAGAACAGCCTCTAAAAGGTAAGAGGTTTAAATGGAACATATTATGAAGTGAACACTAAATCTGAAAATAATATATAAAATACTTTCCCTAAAATTAGAAGCAGATTGATATGGATTACCTTATATAATCTTTCTAGAACTGTAAAATAAAGTATACTACTCAGATATAATATTTTGTTTTGACTTTAGTATACCTTGTTGAATAACTGAACCCTAATAATTCCTTGGTGGGAGAGAACCATGTTTATAAGAATCTTGCCTTTTTTGATAATCCAGTTCACATTTTGAATTTCTCTGTCATTGCTGGGATGTTAGTACAACTGTTTTCCATTGTGTAATGATGAAAGCAAAACTTTATCCTGAACATACTTTACTCTAGGGATAAATATGTTAATAGTTTCAAAATTTTAAAAACTTAATGTTCTAGTTTTCTTGAAATTAATTTTAAAGGTGCTTCTAAGTAAATGATATATTTTTCCACTGAAAACTGGTAGTGATTGAGGAAATGTTTTCTTACAAAAAATTTTATTCCAGAATGCTGTAAATCTCCTCCCATGAGAACCTAAAGATGCACATATACACAATAGTATCTATATATGAACAGATAAAACACACAATTTTTGAGAAAACTGTTTCCAGTTTTCCATATATGTGTGTGCTTGTGTATGTGTTTAACTCCTAAATTACTACTATTTTTTTACTGAAACATCTGTTAGCATGAGGTGCATGTTAACAAATGGTCATTCACCCTATAAACAAAAAATTCTCAATATTACAGTTGTGGAGAATGACTTGAAATATAATACTTCGGCCAAAGCTGCCAAAGTAAAAGTTAGGAAAGTTATATTTTATCCATGCCAATTTTTATTTTACATTGTATTTGCAATGTTAGAAAACTACATATTAAAAAACTGGTAATTGTCGCATTGTTTGGAATTTACCTTTCCTTCTCCTTCCTGACTATGGATAGTTGGGGGATAGCATGAATCATCCAAATATATGGCTAGTTTGTTTTGGTTTGTCTTTTTTTTTAATTAAAAATAATATTTCATGAGCTTAAGTCTCATTTTTACTACACATTTTGCCATTGTGTTTGCCTGTGTTGCAATCCTCATTTACCCACTTGTTGCAATTTTCTATCAGGTCTCAGTAGAACTTGAGAATTTTTAAGATTTGACCCACCATATTCCAGCTACTGACATACCTGGTCTCTACAAATAGCCATTGGATGTTAGTGCACAGAGCTCTTGAATACAGGGTCCTTTATGTTGCAGGACCTTGCTGGTGACTGGCACTTGCCTTTTTGTTAGAAAGAATTTCCAAGGTAATGCTGTAGGATCTGGCTGAGAAATCTATAGCCAGTCCAGCCTTCTTACGTGGTCACACTTTGTTGCATTTGTTTGTTTTTATGTGCAAGAGCTTATCTTTTAGTCACAAAATTGTCATATTATTGGATAGAAAGTGCCCTAGGTAGAAGCTTCTGGGAAATAAGAACTCTCAGTGAAATCATTTGCTTTATTTTGAATTTCCCTGGTAATGGCTGAGATTTGACTCATTATTTTTCCAACATCTAGTACAATATGTCCTGTTGACCCTGTGATTGAACTAAGTGGGTTTCTTGCTGAATAGTAGCTGTTCCCAAGAAAGCTACACCATTTCTCTAGCAGCAATAAACAGAGAATGTTAGGAGAGGAAAAACTGTTTTCTTGCCTTTTATTTTGAAGGAGTGCTGGAATTCGATTTGCCCGTAATTATGTCAGACAAACTTATTTTAACTAGTAAATAGATAATTTTCTGCTTAATTAAGTGGAAGTAACATGAAAGTCTATATAACAGAGAGAAAAATACTGTGAGTTTTTCTGTCAGTGAAGGATATCTGAAGTACTTTTTAACTTGGAGCAGTACATTTCAGAAAGAATCTTGAGAGAGACCAGAATTTCAGAAAGAAAGAGATTGGAGGGACTTTTGAGGGTCCAGAAAGCTTAATCATGTGAAAAAAATAAGTAAATAAATAAGCTAAATATCATTAGTTTCAAGATGAAAAACACAAACTATAACATCATAAGTGATCTCCAATCTTACAAAGGCTGTAAGAAGATAATGTTTGCATCTCTCCAGAAGACAAAAAAGGGCCCTAACAATTGCAGGGGAGAGGAAAATATATTTTGGTTTTAGACTAGAAAATAATATTTAAAATTCAAGTTACCCCATAATAGAATGGTAAACTTGGAAACATTGGACCCTTACTCCCAGAAAGCTTAGTAGCTGTCTGTGGAATTCTTCTCTAAAGGTCCCTTGGTCCTTTATTCTGAAGTTTACTATTTTGCTCCTCAATGGTTCCAAAATCTCATTATAGATATCAGTTGTAAAATTAGGCTGCAAAATAAAGACGGGTGATTTGACTCAAATTTTAAAAAGTCGTTCTTGCTCTTTGACATATAGTGGAGTTTAACTTATTACTAATGTCCTTTATACACTTTCTGCCCCTTCCTTCCTTTTAATTTCCTTCTCTCAACCTTCTTGCTACCCTCGGTGTATCTTTGTTTTGATGCTCAGGTGAAATAGCTACATTAGACTCTGCTCCTCAAAGATTATCTTTCTTATATAAAGCAGTAGTCTAATAGTTCACATTTTTAAAAATTCCTACCTGAAGCCCTATGTTGTTATATAATAAACTTTATACTTCATACCTCTCAAAATAAGACATGACCAGCCAGCATTAACCACCATTCCTATCAGCATAAAAGAACTTTACAACGGGAATGCCTATTTCAGGGAATGTCAGTAGTAAATTTGCAAGTGACCAGTTTCGGGCAGTTTCTCATATCACACCGGTGTTTAACAGAGTTTCTACCCATGTGCAAATTATAGAAAACACACCTTGCAGGTAATCAAAAGAACCATGAAGAATAGCTTTTAATTTGATCATATTTTTAATATTTAAAAGGGGCTTCCTAGCTACATAAATTTATAATCAAGATTAGAGTGTCTCAAAATTACTTAGGTGTTTTGTGGATACACATTGAAGACTTTGGATAGATATATCAAAAACATCTGTAGACACTGTATAGTAGTTACCCAAAGGGAACAGAGTCAGAGAGAGTGAGGGAACTTTTCGCCATATACTATCATACATTTAAAATTTTTGAATCAGATGTGTAGGTTTTATTTAAAGAAAAGAAACATGGAATTTTAGAAAGTGCTTTTAGTCAATACTATATTATTCAGTAAAAAGGCAGAAAACCTAATTATGATATACTTCCTATTTCTAATGCTAGTAAGTCTACCTTTATGGTCTTACATTTATACTTACGTATATTTAGACGTAGCTTGCCAAAGATAAAGAAGTATCTTCATTGATAAACAAACCAGTAATAGACACAAAGTATATTTCACTTTTAATTAAAAATAGAAATCCACATGAAAATTATGAAATGACTATTTATAATATAAGAAGGGAACTTTTCACACTGAAGTTAAATATTTCACTGCTCCTAGTATAGTATAACCATTCTTCCATTTCCAAAATTAAAAAGAAACCAAATAACAGTTGACTTTATAGAAATGAAATTAACACACAATTAATTATAAAATTAACACATGTTCTTCTCTGCGTACTAAACAAGAATACAGTAAGATTTAACAGTTAAACCTAGCAACGCCTGCTATGAGAAATTAATTCCCCTTCAGCAGAAAACTTTTATTATAGATGTTAGTCTTTCTACTTAAAAGCATCCTTTTGGACTCTGTCAAAGAAACTTCAACTTCAGTAAGTATTGAATTTAAAAGCTAAGTATATAAGAACTAAACTATTCTTCTAGGACATGCACATCAATCTTTATTATTATATATAGTCCTGAAACAACTACGGTGTGAAAATGCACTCCCAGGCAAACACTGAATTCCTAAAAAATATGCGAAACATTGAATTTCTAAAGCTACATAGGAATTTGGCTTCTGGTTCAAATTAGAGCTCATATTAAATATTTTGGTAATTTCTGTTCCAATGTTCTTCACAATATTGAATAATTGTCATTTGTGATATAAAATCTGAGCCAAACTCTGAATTTAATTGAAAAAAATTGCCATAAAGAGTATGAGGAGGAAAAAAAAAAAGGTTTCAGTGACAAGACACCCTTCATGAAATCACCTTTTTACGTGCTTATAAACTGATTTGGCATAAGTCTTTTAAACAGTGAGGAAACCAAAACTGAGACTGAAGATGTTTTCATTAGTTTAGCCTGTCAGAATTCCGCAAATTAGAATCATTTTGTTTTAAGGTTGTTACCACTTAAGAGAAAGCCATTATCCCTCTTTCCTAGTCATCAGTATTTCGGCTGTTAGCTGGGAAGTGCTTTGCACTCTTGCTGTCAGCACTTTCTCCCACTGCTTTGCCTCAAAATTCAGGCCAATAATTCAGGGTTGAAGAACTCGGTCCCATCTCCATGGAGTCATGTGCCTTTCCTTTCAGTTGCCTGGGCACAGTTTATTTGTAGCTTGGAAGGTCAAGAACTGAGGGCATCAAACAATTGTAGTCTTTTAGATATCATACTGAAAATTACTTTTTGTGCTAGTTGGAACTACGGGACATATTAGTAATTATAAGTTTGTCCATTCTTTCCTTATTTTAAAATCTTGTTTTACAGAATATTCAGTCTTAGAACTAATTTCTGTGTCCTTTATTTTAAAGTCATTTTAAATGAATTCCATCAGTTTAAATAACCTGCTTTTTAAATGAAATTTCATTTAAAATTACTGTTTGAGGTAAAAGATACTGGTCGTAACTGACATTATTATTAAACTCTTAAACCTGGGAGGAATAAAGCCTCTAAGCCAACACAGATTAGAAGTATTAATTTAATAGAGTAATCATAATTCTTTACTCCTCATAGAAAAAGAATTTTGTCCTTACATCATTTCTTATGTACAAACTTTATCAATGTATTTTTTTTTAACTGATATTAAGTACTGTTGTTACTGAGAATTTAATGGGGTACCCATAAAAACACTTTGAGCTTCCTGGTCTATCTCTAAAAATTACTATTTTAGATTGGCCCTGTAACATTAATGCAAATTAACAGATTAAAGAAGCAATTTAACTGAAATGAGTATTTCCTAATTTTTAGCACTTAACGTTTTTGAACTATTCTAAGAAAGAGTAAAGCTATAATCTTAAGACAAGCATGTGCTATAATAACTAGTAGTCTTCAATATTCACATGTCATTTAGCAAATTAAAATGAGAAATGAACTCTCTCACTAATGCTCTGCTCTACCATTTATAAAGCAATATTAGGAAAAATTGACAGAGTTTTGCTACAATTGCTGTATGTATTTTTTTCTAAAAATTTCTGTGTACGTGTATGTGTGTAAACATCATGTTTGATCATAAATTTCCGGGTGGGGAAAACTTGTTTGTGTTATGATCAATGGTCTGATCATAACGACAGTGAGCTCATCCCTGTCATGTGTTAGCCTGCCTTGTTCAGTTTCATTGAATCTTTGTTTCAGAGTTTGCATGTGGTGCTCATTTTAGTGGCCACTGCTCTTGACACTGTAAATAATACCTTATGATCTTTTCTACTCTATCCTGAAATTATATACTAGAATGGGTGGCATTGGAAGACATAATGACTATGGTCTTTTTGATTTTTGATTATTATTTTGATTCCAACATAATATCTGACTTTGGTCTTGATAAAAGGCCTTCTGTCTTTATCATCCTGATACATATTCTTAAATTCAAGAGATAATAAAAGAACTATGTTTGGATTTCATTTCATACTAATTTCTTTTTTAAAATATGAAGTATCAACAAGCCTTTTCTGCCAACTATCAGATCTGATCTTTCATTTATCAGAGGTTGGCAGTTTGGCACTTACGGCTATTAGGGTCTTGGTTGTTCTAAAATAATAATTATTGGTGTACACAAATTTGCACTGAGTACAAAACATAATAAACATGTGGCCAGTACTTTGTACATGTTCTGGTTTACATCCAAACATTACCTTAAGCAAATTCTGTTCTAAATGCTTATGTATTAGCATATTAGAAATAATAAAATGTGTTTTTCACAGGATGTGTAGATAGAAAGATCAAGCAGAGATGCATTATATGGTTACTTGACCTCAATATGTGTTGATACGTGTTTTATGGCCATCACACTTAATCTTTTTTCATAACACTTTGCATGACCCTGATTATTAAATATGGCTTAAATATAAGATTTGAATGAACCCTGAATGAACTGTCTGGTGGGGTGGTGAATTTCTTTGTAGAGACTGCCCCGGTCAAGTTCCTCCGAGTGCAGCACAGTTGATAACCCTCTGCCAGGAGAAGGAGAGGAGGCAGAGGCCGAGCCTGTAAACTCAGATGAGCCAGACGCCTGCTTCACAGATGGTAAGAAAAAAGAACGCAGTTAGCATCTGTTAATTAGTGTTTGTGTTTTATCTTAAAACCTCATATAAAGGGGTTGTTTAGTAAAAAGCCAGAAGACTCCATTCCATGCCAATCCAGCTGTTTCTCTATGACCAAAAGCAAGTCATTGGGCTTCTCAGGCTTCCGTCTCTCCGTGTAAAGTACTGTACGAACGATGATCTGCAATGACAGTGTGTCAGACTTAAGGCTCTCTGACAACTGCAGGGTGTTCCTGCTGCTCATTCAGACCCTTGATTCACGTTCCCAGCCCCATGGACCCACTAGGATACACCCTAAGGGACAGACGCTACTCCTGTTGTCCTTCCCATCGAAAGCTGAAGGCACTCACTACCTCTCGCTGCCCCCTTCGCTACTGGCTCCAGGTTCTTCCTCTGTTTTCCGAGGCCACCCTGCGCCTTCGCTCCTGCACATCTCCGAGGGCTCTGAGTTTCACTGTCTGTTTCTTTTAGCCACTCTTTGTATGAACATCCCTTAAATAATGAAGTCCCCCCACATTTTGATGCCTGGTTATCTTCTTTTCTTATTCTCTGGCCCCCAGGGGTTTCATCCATGTCTGCAGCTTGAACGATCATTTCTGGGTTGTTGACTCTTAAACGATTACCTTTACCCCTGAACATACTCTTGAGTTCCAGATCTGCCTACAACTCCCCCCTTGGTTCTCTCTACCTGTTGCTTTTTGGCATCTCAAGTCTGTTAAGTTTAAAATAAACTTTAGTGGGTTCTCCCACATATAATCTACCCTTGCTTCTTATCTTGAACTCACTCAGTGATGCCATGATCCATCCTGCCTCTCAAGGTGAAGACTTCGAGTCAGCCCTAACCTCTTCCTTCTTAGCCACGGTTGATTATAGAAACCACAAGCTGACCAGAACCGGGCACAGGCCCCAAGTCCTCCAGGGGATTATGATGTGCACTAAAAGTTAAGAACCATTGGTCTGTAGAATAAACCCGAAGTCCTCAAGTCGGTGTGTAAAGCCCTGTGCATATGGCCTCCCTCTAATCTCCCTGACAGCAGCGCTTTTCATTCCTTTTCACTTTCTGCTTCACTGACCTTCTTACGACTCCTGAAATGCTGGGGGGATTTTATTCATAGTAGTAACTTTGAACTTGACCCAGGAAAGAATGCAGTACTTCCTAAGCAAGAGTTGTGACACCCAAGTAAAAACACAATTCTAAAGTTTTAAATTCCTAGATGCCTCATCTGTAGCATGGATATAACAATCACATCCATGTTATAGGAATACTGGGGATATTAAATGAGATAATACTTATAAATAAATTAGTACAGTGCCTGTCTTCTTCTACTTTCCTTATTGCTTTTGAAGCATTTTTCCAACAACCTCACAGAGAAGCTATAATAATATTGATGCTCATGATTCAGTTTCCACTCCTGGGATTACCCTCAGCATTGTTATTTTTTGTAGAAATGATTAACTTGCTTGATTCTCCAGGATTTCCTCAACCAGCCTCCTGTAGCACTCATGCAGTAAACAAAATGACTGGCAAAAAAAGGTATCTTCAAAATACAACAGGTGCATGAATTTCTTTGAATACAAGCCAGATCTCATTTTATGTGAGAGGCAAATAAGTTTGACACCCTATTTGTAGAAATTTTGTGTTTGCTGAAACTAGTACCATAAGCAAAATACAAAGACTTTCCTTGAGAAGTGTTCCTGTTAAAGGCATTTAAGAATTTCGTCAGTTATTGCCCGTTTCTCAATAAATTGTTTGGCACCAGGCAAACTTAAATTTGTGCAGATCCACTGTGATTTCCTCTATCCATTCTATGAATGACCCTAACTTAAAATTATAGGATAACTAAAAACAACTTGGGCTTATCAAACAAATTATGGCTTGAAATCAGAAAAGAGCATTAGAAAAACTTAAACTCTCTCTAGAAAGTATTAATGCTCAGCTATTTCTAACCATAAGTGCTATGTTACTTACAAAGTTTACTTTAGTCCTGCAAAACACCAATGAAAATGCTTATATGATCACTTCGAGATTTTTCATAACTTCTAAATTAAGTCTAGCATATAGGAAATACTATAAGTAATGATTCTATAGCATCTTACTACACTGATGGACAGAGACTGTAATGGGGTACATGGTGGGGACTTGACAATAGGGAGAGTCTAGTAACCATAATGTTCATGTAACTATACATTAATAATACCAAAAGAAAAAGAAAAAAAAATTTGTTCACTGCATAAACAATTCACTGTGTGTGTTGGTGGGAAAAAAAAAAGAAATACTATGGAAACACATTTTCAAATGAACTTTGGCTTTGACCACTGAAAGTATCCTGAGAGCAAAAGTTGCAGTTATGCAAGCTGTGTAAGTTCTGGAGATCTAGTGCACGATGATGTGACTGTAGTTGACAATGCCGTATGTTATGCTTAAAATGTGCTACGAAGGTAGATCATAGGTGTTGTCACCACAGACACACAAAAAGAAGAAACTGTTGACTGTGTGGTGATGGCTATGTTACATAGCTTGAATTGATCATTCTTTCATTCACTAACAATCCTTAAACACCTCCTGTATTCCAGGCCCAGGGCTGAACACTGTAGAGAAATAGAGCAGTGAAAAAAAACAATGTTCCTCGTCCATATAAATGTGTGAATACGTAGGAGGTAAGATAAGTGATACATGCTATGGACAAGTGAAGTAAAAATGGGAATATTCAGGTTGAGGGGTAGGAACCTACTGTCAGATAAATAGAGTGGTCAGAGAAGGCCTTTCTAAAAAGGTATCTTTTGATTGGAGACCTGAAGAAAATTGAAGTGGGTCTTACAAATATATGAAGAAAGAGTACTTTGGGTAGAATAATAAAGGCTCATGCCTTGAAGTGGGGATGTGCACAACCTTTGAGGGAAACCAAGGGGCCAGTATGAATAGAAAAGATTAAGAGATCTGAAGAGTTGGTTAAAGTCAAGGTATAAGATGCAGTAGAGGCCAGGTCATAAGAGCTTTGAAGGACATTATAAGCATCTCATTTAAGTCTCACAACATGTTATTTTAAAAGTAAATGGGTGGGTAGCAAGGGTGGGAGCTGGGAAACCTCTTGGATGTTACTCCAGGAACCTGGGGGGTGCTGATGGAAGCTCAGACCCCTGTGGTTGTATGGGGAGGGTGAGAGTACGAGATTCTGAGTGTATTTTGAAGTTAAAGATGAAGGGATTTCCTGATGGAATGGATATCAGGTGAGAAAGAAAGAAGAGTCAAAATGACTCCAGAAACTGGAAATACGTGGTTCCTATGTGAAAACTTCAAAATCACTTGGCTTTGCAGGGTGGGAAATTGGGAACTTATTCACTTACAATGAAAATGACTCAGCAATTCAGGATTGGTCCACAAGAGCTGAGAACACCACTAGGCCTCCAGAGATTTTTGCTACCTGCAAGGCAGCAGGAAAATCAAAGAGTGAGTTAAGTCAGAGTAGTTGTGTGTTCAGGGAAGATGAATTGCTAAAATGATGTTCCTTGTCTCACACCCCTTGATCCTTTTGGACTTCATAACTGCCACTTTACTAGTGCGCATCTTGTTCCTCTCCTTCCCCCCGTTTCTCCTCCCTTTACACTACGTCTCACTTTAGTTCAGTTCCCTTAAATTTGTAAGTCAAGACTCCAGGCCCCTTCTCTGCATCTGGCCCTGTTCTTCACTCTCCTTAATTCTGCATGTCTTGGCAACCTGTATAATTATGAACATGATATGACTCTTTGATTCTGTTTGATTTTATATTGTACTCCTTTTATTTTTTTATGGAGTATAGTTGATATACAATATTACATTGATTTCAAGTATATGACCCAGTGGTTCAGCAGTTACACACCTTATTCAATCCTCCCCCCCCCCCACCAGTGCAGTTACTATCTGTCAGCATAGGACGATGTTACAGAATCATTGGCTACATTCTCCCTGCTGTACCATGATCCCTGTGACCAACTTACATTATGATTGGGATTTTTGTGCCCCTTCGTCCCCCTCCCCTTCCCCCATGGTAACCACCAGTCACTTCTTAGTGTCTGTGAGTCTACTGCTATTTTGTTCACCTTGTTTTGTTTTTCTATTCCACAAACAAGTGAAATCATATAGTATTTGTCTTTCTCTTTCTGCCTTATTCCACTTAGCATAATACCCTGTAGGTCTATCCATGTTGTTGCAAGTGGCAGGATTTCTTTATTTTTTATGGCTGAATAATATTCCATTGTGTATATGTACCGAATCTTCTTTATCTCTCCATCTTTTGGTGGACACTTTGCTTGCTTCCATATCTTGGCTATTGTAAATAATGTGGCAATAAACATAGAGGTGCATATATCTTTTCAAACCAGAGATTTTGTTTTCTGTGGGTAAATTCCTAGAAGAAATCAGCTGGTATTTCTATTTTTAGTTTTTTGAGGAACCCGCATACTGCTTTCCACAGGGGCTGCCCCAGTTTACATTCCCACCAACCATGTAGGAGGGTTCCCATTTCTCCACATCCTCACCCACACTTGTCATGTCTTGTCTTTTGGATAGTGGCCACTCTGACTGACATGAGGTGGTATCTCACTGTGGTTTTGGTTTGCATTCCCTGATGATTAGCGACGTGGAGCAGCTTTTCATGTGCCTGTTGGCCATCTGTATTTCTTCTTTGGATAAATGTCTGTTCAGGTCCTCTGCCCATTTTTTTAATCGAGTTTTTTTGGGTTTTTTTTGGTGTTGAGGCATATGAGTTCTTTATATACTTTGAATGTTAACGCTTATCAGATAATATTCTCCCATATTGTAGGTTGCCTTTTTGTTCTGTTGTGTCCTCCTTTGAGATTATACAATTAGTAAATTCCACAATCAGGATATGTGAGGATACCTTCTTTTCCTTAAAGTAATGTATTCTCTGTTAATTGTATATAGGGGAAGTCAACTCAGTTTCCCCTACAAATGGTCTGAATTCATCAACTTCCTATAAAATAACTAATAACTAATTCTAACTTCTAATAACACAGTAACCAACTCCTTTGTGCCTATTTCTGTCTCTTTTGGGGAAAGAAAGTGAGGACAAAACACTTGTTTTAGAGGATTGGGAACGTTTTAAGAAGTGGTTAAAAAAGAAGACTTACTTTCCTGATAAATTCTTACATAATTATACTGATGATGCTATTATATTTTTATTAATGGGAGTCTAGCTTGGAAGAGAGGTCAGGGGTTTCTTTTATATTTGAGAACCTTGGTTTAACATGATGAAACCCAACAGAGACTTTAGGTAATGCCTCACAAGAGCAAATTAATGAAACAACCCAAAAGAAATAGCATTAACCCACAGGGACCCATTAAAATGTTTGAGATGTTCTCTGTTATGTTTACATTTGATTAATAGTTCTTTTTAAAAAAGAAGGTATGATAACATTGCTAACCAGCTAGGTCGGAAATCTACTGGGATATGCCTTTGCATAAAAGCCAGCCAGGTAGTTGAGCACTCCCACCTCAAAATAAGAGAGAGAAACTCTCTGAGGTGTGATAAATCCTGAGGGCAATATTTATGAACCTTCATCTCAGATAAAAAGTTTACTTACTTTTCTAATTAGAATGTATACTGCCTTTTCTTTCCTCAGTCATTAGAATAATATTTCGCTTCAACTTTATGACTGACAAAAATGAATCCCAGATAATAAAATCTCAACCAAAAGGACAACCTTCTCCTCTGATAATTATACTTGAGGTATGCTAGCTTCCTTTCGGCACGAGGTTTTTGTTTTTAAGCTTGAGTAAATTCTAAAATCTCAAGCATTAAGTCAATATAAAAAAATGATTCCTTCTTAATCTCTTGCTCATTCTGGTGTTTTCTTTTGCCCTGAAATAGATTATCTGGGAGTCAATTTTTGGCCCCACCTTTTTACTGTTTTTCCATATCATTTTATAAAATATTCCCTACCGGATACACTTGAGATATACATGAAGATTTTAAATACAATGAATATGATAAATACTATGAAGATAAGTTTATTCATATCAGGGTCATCTTACCTATAATTAACAGTGGATAAATGAAGTTATGTGTTTTCCATTCATCCTGGTTTTGTTTTTCTTTTACAACCAATCTTTTTATTAATTCTAGAATTCACAGAGATGTGATGTTTTTGATCATGACTAATGCTTCTTTGAATTTAAGACTCTTTGGTGGGGTTCATGTCTTTTAAGTCAACTATGCATGGCATGTTAAGCTATGTAGAGGACTCTATTATGTAGTTTGAGCAGGAAAAAGGGGCATAACAGAGACAGTTTTAGCTTTCTGGGAACTTAGAAGCTTCTGGAGAGAAAGGTTAGAAGCATATGAAATATGCATAATAACAAAATTACCAGAGACCTGGGGGGAAAACATAGTCTGCTGTATTTCTATAGAGCTGGAAATTCAAGTGCCAGGAAATTCCTTATCTTCTGGATCAGTGAACTAATTCCACTGAAGAATCATGAAAGAAGCCATAATAAGACATTGTCTAAAAAGTGTTGATAATCAAGGGAGTTCTAGTTTTGTTGTTTCAGGGCATATCTGAAGTTATTACTTGATAGGCTCAGTAGTTTATATCAAATATATTATTTTACAGAAAAGGAAATTTTTTTTAAGTGCCTAACCTGCAGACTTCTGAAACAAGTTTCTAAAGAAGTCCACTCCCACCTCTTGCCTTCCTTCCAAATGAGGTTTTTTTATCCAAAAATTTCTGAGAGGAATTCCTTGCGGTTCCTCTTTTTAAAATTCTTTGTTTTCTTCAAAGTGTTTCTGGTTGTTTCTTTTCTCATCGACTTCAGATTATTTTTATTTAATTTTTAATTTTTTTAATCATTACCTGTATGGGCTGCTCTTGGTCCTGGATCTGTCTGCCAGTCACTCATAGAACGTGTGACTCCCTGGCGTCTTTCAGCGTTTTGTTCCTCTCTCCACCCTTACTCTGTCTCTCACTCCTTCAAGATGTTTTTCTCCCTCATCCCAGTGGTGTGCAGGTATGTGTTTAACAATGAGTTCTCCACGAAAATGAAAGCATGCATAGGTGTGTCCATTTGTTATAAATTTCACTGATGCAAAGGCTACATGGCACACACATTACAAACAGTAATATAAACCTTCTGTATTATACATTCTGTAGCTCACTGGTTCTCACGAATGCTTTTGTTAAATTTTACCAAAATTTTGTGTTTATAGATGATCAATGATTGCAATTGACAAACAAATGTAGTTTTAACTTGAGGAGTGTTAGAGACTTTCATTTAAGTTAATCAATAAGGTGAAAGTGAAACAAAGAAACTGTATGTGAGAACTTCACTCATTCATCAATGATGTAAGAGAATCTTTGAGGATTCAGATCATAGAATTTGAATATGAAACCCCTATATCGTTCTCTGCTTATAATCCTTCCCTTAATCTTAAAGTTTTTGTTCTTTTGACAGTGTAATGGCCACAAACATGACATGTATTCACTATTTTATCTGTTTTATTAGCATTTCCTCCATCACTTTCTGAAGACTGCTCTAGAAAATTAACAAGACCTGATGTGTAGCATTTTAGCATAATGCATTATACATGTATATTATAATGCATGATAGCATTTTGTAGTGTAAAGATTTACTGTGACTGATTTCAAACTACTGATGTGACTTCACCACATGTATAGTTGGGAAGACACACACAACAGCCGAGACAGTCTTAGCAAATTTCCAGCATCCCAACAGACTAGACATAAATATACTAAAAAGCATAGATAATAATCAGATGATTAGAAAGTAATGTTTTTAGTATTTATTACTTCTTTTAAAGTAAGTTATAATTTTAAGTTTATATAACTGAATTTTTGATAATGGCCATAGTTAACAGGAGGCCTGCAAAAATTCCTAATAATTTAACTGGGAGTTACTACACCACTGAGTTCTGTCCCTCAATATTTCTGGTCCAGAATGTTTCAGACTTGGCCCTTTTCATTCCTTACCCTAATGACTTTTTTTGTGTGACCTCAAAACACAGGATCTCAACCTATATATAATTCTTACATATTCTTTTCTATCCCAGACTTTCCCCTTGAGCTTGATATTCGCATCTCCAAATATCTGCATTTCGATGTTTCCTTGGCATCTCAGACTCATTACCTCCCAATAGCTCCTGCACTAATGGCCTGTTTCATTGCTGAAATCCATCCCGTTGTCCTGGGCTCCGCTCTTTCTCTCACATCCCATATCCAGTCACCAAATCCCATTGAGTTTATCTACCAAATATGTCTTGACTCTGCTATTGCTCTAGCTCCTTAGAGTTGCCCAAATTTATCACTCTTGTCTGGGATACTCAACCAGAATCCTAAATGGTTTTCCGGCTCTGGGTCTTTCTTCACCTCGCCCCCTTTTTTTTCCTTTTCCATCTTATCCTGCACACAACTGTAGTGGTATTTATTTAACATGCACTCTGCCTATATCATTCTCCACTTACAATATTTCACTTATTCCTCAATGACTATAGGATTTAAACAAACTCCTTCAGGTGGTGGGAAGTGCTTTTGTTAACTGGCCAATTTCTGTGACTTCATCTCTTACCCCTCCCTCTGTTTATACTTTGCTTTCATCACTATTCTGCACTGCTTGTAATTCCTAGGCACAACGTATTTGACTGCCTCTAGCCTGGAATTCCACCCAAACTCTTTTTGGCTAACACTTTGATTCAGTTCAGGCTCCACCTTTTAGGAAGCCTCCTCTGACCTCTGCTTCTCAACAAATAAGCCAGGTTAGGTAGACTTCTTCCTTCATACCGAAATAACGCCTGCATATCTGCCATATTAATTACTCTATGCAGTTATAGTCATTTATTTCTATACCTACTTAGCCAAAACCAAAAATAAGTTCTACAACCGAGGAAAGTATGTACACAGCTGAGTACATAGGAAATAACAGAAGTCTGATGGAGAAATGAACAGATAAACTTAAAAAATTTTACATAAAATGTTCCTCAGTTTTTCATAGCAGTATGTTTTGCACCTAGGCTTCCAATGTCAGATTTGTTTTGTACTTAGAGCATGTGAAACAGTTTCATCTTCATCTTCTAGTCAAGATTTTTTATTATAGGACCTTCCACTAATTTTCTTATATATTACTTAGAATTGTGTTTCTCAAAGGGTTCTTAAAGAGGAGTTGAGGCAGCATCAGATTGTAGACTGGATTCATATCAGGGCAACTTTATCTTTCAGCAAAGAAGGCCCTAAAATGTACCTTTGTCCTCAGATTTTAGTCCATTCATTTATCAAATAAGTATTTAGCACTTACTCTGTATCAGGAGAATTAAGATTATATTAGGATTTCTATAATAGAAAAATAAGTGGTTTAAACACTGTAGAGGAGATTGAAGAGAAATTGGGGAACTACAGAAAACAAGAAGACATCTCAAGTTAGAAATTATTAGCAAATACTAAGAAGACACTGTGGAGAACTGAGAGACAAGAAAAGGTGGCGTCCAAGTTGAATCTATTTGAAGCTTCAGGTACAAGGGTTAGAAATTATTTGGTTGAGGGGCTCTCATAGGGCATGCTTTGCATCCAGTAGTCTATTTTTTGTATTTATTCTGAATATCAAGCTCTTACATGCATCTCTTTCTTGCTAGGTTGTGTACGGAGGTTCACATGCTGCCAAGTTAACATAGAATCAGGGAAAGGAAAAATCTGGTGGAACATCAGGAAAACCTGCTACAGGATAGTTGAACACAGTTGGTTTGAAAGCTTTATTGTTCTCATGATCCTGCTCAGCAGTGGTGCTCTGGTAAGTGATCGGACACAAAAGCAACAAGTTGAGGAAGTCAGTATTTCTGGTAAATGAGTTGGAAGAAAAAAAATACTGTGGCAAGTTGTTTTACCTAAAAATGAATCCCTGTGATTAGTACCAGGACAAAATTTTAGTTTAGCTCAGCAAATACTTACTGAGCAGCTACCACATGTCAGGCATTATTCTTGCTGCCATGAAAGCAAAGATGGATAGGGTCCCGGTATTTTTCTCAAGGGGGTCAAAGAGCATTGGGGAAGAGACACAAGTGGTTACAAAACTGGGATGTGTTTGTAAGTGAAGAACAAACTTGATGACACTGTAGCAAGAACAGTTATCTGATTGGCATCACAGAAGAGTATATGATGTTTTGCAAGGTCTATGAAGATTAATAGGAATTTTTCTGTCAAGCAAGGTGGGCAGGGGGAAACAAGTGTACCATGGTAAGGAAGCATGAAACAGCATGAGCTATTCAGGAAATGGACAGCTGCCAAGCTAGAACGAGATACCGTGACCAAGATAAGCAGTGTAAGTTTGTAAAGCATCTTGCGTGTTGTTATAAGGGAAAATAGGCTGTAGTTTTCAGGTGAGAACGGGGAAGTTTCTCATTATTGTACATCTACCAACCACCTTCTCTGAGAGCTGAAAGAGATCTGGGAGGTTATAACCTCATTGGGCCTTTTCTTACTTGTGTGTTTTTCCTGCTGAGGCTAACAGGGATGAACCATTAGAAGCCCCATTCCAGGCAGAGGTACCATTGGAAATACTCAAGAACTTTATAAGTTGCATTACAGTCTTCATGGATATGGGATTTGGTTTTACTCTGTTTACAATAAATTAACCTGTTACTGTTCCATGGATGCTGGTAGAAGATAGAATACTTCAGATCAGAGACAAAGGACTTTTTGCTCATGGCGTAGAAGCCAGTGTGAATTTCAACATGTTGGTTCCCACGTCCCAGGGGGCATGGCATGGAGCTGAATGAGTGCTGCACACACAGTGGGTTGGCATTGCAGATGAGTAGTGCTGAGCTTAGGGAACCCATCTTCTTATAGCAGGCAGTGAACAACCTGCTCTTTGTCCCAGAGGGAGACACTGCCTCATTTTTCAACACTCTTGCTGCAAAAGCAACCCGGAGACATGGCTTTGCATTCTTGGCCTTCCCAGCAAGAACATGCAGTCACACAGGGCTCACAGCAGATTGCTTCCCCCCAACAAGCCCCCTCTCTCAAAAACAGAAGATGAGTAAGAAAAATAGAACTCTCCTTATCTGGTGGAATGGCCAGTAAGAAGCTTGACAGTGTCTGCATTACTTGTACTGCGAATAACTAAGAAAGTGTGTCCCCTACTGAGTCACATATGCGACTGGGATTGTCAGAAAGGAGATTACAAAACAATTAAGAAAAGTTTAAAGTAATCCCTTGTTCAAAATGTCTAAAAAGGAAGATGACATTTTGGTGAGGTGCACACTCAAAACTGAAATCCAAATGAGTCATATAAGGAAGAAAAGGTATTTCAAAAAATGGGTGTTTTTACTCAGGGAGTTGGCCAGGTGAGGTAGAGTTTTAAAGCTGTCTATAAAATAAACAAAAAGTAATAGTTCTGATTCGGTACACATTTATTGTGTCTTAAGATGTTTATTATATAGCTTTTCTCAATTTTCAAACAATCCTATGAGATCATGGTATTTTGCCTGTTTTATCAATGTGGAAGCTAGGTAGAGAGTTTAAATGGTTGTTAAGGGCCCCAAAGGTAAATGACAGAGCCAAAAGTTAACCAAGATCAGAGCCAAAGCCACCGTATTTTTCCACTGTGTGTGGCTCCTCCGAAAGCGGAGAACACATCATGTGGACACAAATGAGGGGTAACTGACATGCGTTCACAGTGAAGCCTCTGCCCCAAGTCAGGTATGTGTCACATAATGGCCTCCTTGCCTCCGTGCTCCTACATCCACAAAACCAGTCCTCAAAGCCGGGGGCCGTGCAGGTTCTGGGACTAGTCGGAGGAGGGTGTGCTCAGGCAGGGTGCCTGGCTCTCCACAGCGGGACTTGCTCCGGGCCCTGCTTTGCACCCTGGGTCCAGGAGCAGCACCCTTCTTCTCTGTGCTCATGCCCCTTCCTTACCTATGTATTTCAAGGACTGCTGTGTTGTCACAGGGAGGCAGGGAGATCCCGAGGACGGGAAGCCTCCCCTTGCTCTTCGTTTCCATTGACTTTCAGAACCTCTGCCAACTGCTGGAAGCGTCTTTTGGCATCTTAATAGGTCTGCCCATTCTCTCTGTTTCAATGGCTCTGTTTCTTCGATATTGATACCAATAGTTGCCAAAAGTGCTAAGGCCCATTTTGAAAGTATTGACGGAAAAACTGGGAGTAAGAAAAATAAGCCCATAACTATGGACAGGAGTATAACGTTAACCACTAAAGATACAGGTCCTTTTGCTTTCATTTTCTCCAACAAAGTGAATATTGTTTGAATTTGAATGAGAAAACTCCAATACTTTAGACCTGTTTACATCAGCAGTCATTTTCAGAGTTTTTCAGTTAGCTTGGTTCTTCAAGTCCATTCAGGGACTTGTGACTATGACCACAGTCTCATCCTCTGTCACTTACTGAAAGTTCTTAGATAATGTTAAGAGGTAACACATTCAAGGAATGAATACAACAGTCATTTGCAGAGCTGAAGTTTTACAAGACTATGCAAAATCCAAAGAAAGAAACCATCCTCTGCGTTCATGGCCCTATGAAGCTACTGCACTGATTGACTAGCAAACCTTCCCTTGTCTCCTGCTGTGTTCTTGACACGGTGCTAGGCACTGGGCGTGCACAGGCATCTAAGAGCAGCGGGAGGGGCTCAGATCCTGCTGGTGGGTGCAGAGGGCAGTACAGGGTGAGAAAGTTATGGAATCATATCTTAAGTTATTGGGACTTCTCTAGTTACTACACCGTAACTGGAAGCCAGAAGAAAGTCAGCTGACCCTTAATCGTATTGTATTTCAATGGTTTCTCTCTCGGAATTTTATTTCCTGTTTTTTGTTCTGAATCAGAAGCTTTCAGTTGTACATGAATTGGAATTTGAAAATTATTTCCACAGGCTTTTGAAGATATATATATTGAAAAGAAGAAGACCATTAAGATTGTCCTGGAATATGCCGACAAGATATTCACTTACGTCTTCATTCTGGAAATGCTTCTAAAATGGGTAGCATATGGTTATAAAACATATTTCACCAATGCCTGGTGTTGGCTGGACTTCTTAATTGTTGATGTAGGTATTTTGAGTAAATTTTAAAAGAGGACTTATTTTTATAAGTAAAACCTTCACTGATGTATATTATCATTTTAATTTGGGTTAGCNTGATGGGAATAAAAACACAATGAAAATCTAGGTGGGGGATGGGAATGGAAAGGGCAGAGGCACAAATCAAAAAGATAAAATACAGATTTTGTTTTTTACAATATAAAATAAGAGAATAAAAGGGCATAAGGGGTATATTAAATTGTGTGATATGTTAGCTAAAGTCATATAAACATGGTAGTAGGACCAAAGCTAAATAACTGTTAGATAGAAGGGAAGACACGGGATTTAAAAATATTTTTCTCAGTCCCAGCGATAGGGAAAACCGAAATGAGTCACAGCTCTTGTCCTGTCTCCAACATCTCGCTATATTCATCGCTATAGAGTATCAGTGGAGCAGAGAAATAAGCATTAATAAGTATTACCTGCTGAAATAGTCAGGGAAGAGATCTTTAAACAGCTTTGTAAATCAGGGTATCTCAAATGGACATTAATGGTATAACACTTATTATTATCAATTCATTCTTATTTAGTGTACTCAAATTATTTATATTTGAATGATGTAATTAAAAAATGTATAGTAATGTGATTAGTGTAATTATTTTGTATTTTTATTTTATAAGGCATATGATATTTTAGATAATATAATATTTTTAGGTACAATGTATGATATTTTATATTCTTTTAAAAGGCTTTCTTAAATTAATTCACAATCTCAATCTCCCATTCTTATTTTACTCAGAATGTTTTATGTTCTTCAATATTTTACTAATTCTCCTAGATTTTCCAAAATCTAGTCTTCGTGATTAGGAAAGGAATATCCCATAATCAGTCATAGTTTTTAGAGATTTATTTTCCATCTGAAGTCTGGAATTAGCACATGCAAATTTTTATAATGCCAGCAAGTGTGCTAACACTTTACCGAGAGTATACATTGTCAAACTTTAGAAAAGATCATTAATACAGCATAATTTATACATATCAAAATTATAAGTAGGCATGACTGTAAATAGCAAAATCTAACTGCAAAATTCAACCAAAACTAATCATATCTATTCAAAAGTTAAATCTCAACTGTTACCTAAAGTTCAGTAAACTCTTTTTTAACAGCTCAATATATACTTAGAGCAATAACATTTTTGTTTTTAATATAGGTGATATGGAAAATAATTTTTCTCTCAATGTATAGCTTTACATTCTCTGATTTTTTGTCTTATATTAATGATTTCCTATTGATGGATTCACCTTTCATGCATATGTTACCTAGTTATCAGCTAGCAAAATGGTAAGGTGAATGCTTTTGTAATATAATGATTTTAAAGAAATGCCAACTAAAATAAGAAGAAATAGTAGAAGGAATGCACATTATTTTTCTTTTCCCTTAACCTTTAAATATGCTTAGATATTTTAAAAGTTAGAATAAGATATTTTAAGATATTCAGAACCTTTAAAAATATTATCACAAACCTAGTTACTTTTATCACTCAGCTTATGAGATACAAGTAGAATTGGTTAAGAAAGAGATATAGTTGTTTGATAAGAGAAATTACTTTGTCTTATACTTAAGGTTGAATCATAGCTGGTGATTCTCAATATTTAGGGATATGTAATATGCAGAACTCAGGGCATTATATAGTTTCAATCTGAAATATTGAATAAAATAACAATTCAAGATAGTATTTTGAAAAAGCTAAGTAAATATCAAATATACATTATATAACATTTGTATATATTACACATATATATTTGATATAAATAATGTTTTTATAATGCAATGCAAAGAGCAAAGGGGCAAACAATATTCTTGCTTGTAGAGGTACAAATCTAGGGAAGCAAATCATGGGGGTGCTGAGATTTCTTAATTTCTCAAAAGCTGAGCAACTTACCTGGACAGTTCTCAAAGTGTGATCCCTGAACCAATGGCATGGCACATATAGGTGGGAACTTGTTAAAAATGCAGTTCTTAGGATTCACCATGATCCACTGAATCAGAACCTCTGGTGTTGGGACCCAGAAAATAGTTACAACAAGCCCTGCAGATGATTCTGGTGCTGATTGAGGTTTCAGATACTAAGGTTTGATCTAATTTGATACTCAGAGGATGGACTTGCTTGCTTACTACAGACATCTTTTTTATTTGAAACTTATTTGATTGAACATTATTCAATCAAATATATGATTCATTATACATGTGTATGCGTAGATAAATAGATGTATATATATGCTTATATATATTCTCAGTTACAGACTGTACTGTAGTTTTCTTAATAACGTGCATCTATTGTATTCAGTATTGTAACACCTAACAGTGGTTTGGAGATCAGGGCTACCTTTTCCTTTGGGACTATTCAAGTTACAATAGGTATTTTTAAACTTTATTTTTTTCTGATTAAAGGGGAGTACTTGTTATTCTGATTTAAAAGTACACTTAGTTTTTTAAGTGCCACGTAAGTGAAAAATAATGGACCTCAGTGACTGAGTGAATTTAAAAATGATAGGAGGGACATCAGTTCTACTGGGTAGATAGTGTAGGGACTCGGTCAGAAGTAACTACATGATCACACAACACTTCACCCATCTTGATTCATAGATCAATTTACCTGTCTCTGATGGCGCAGCCCTGAGCTCTTGAGCAATGAATTTTCCTATCAACAGTTGTGTAAGGAAGTTGACTCTTGGAGTTCCTATTCTTCCCAGGAAAGCTTGAATTTTTTAGTCATTGCAATTTGTAATGAAGAGCTGCATTCTGGACATTGTTCTTAGACATTGCCTCCTGTTACACACAGTGTAAAAATTTTACACTGTAATTTTACAGTGTAAAAATAAAATGAAATATTTTAAATGGAACTGATTTAGAGACTAACTGCATGTATAGATCCAGACCTAAGGTCATTGAAGAGCTCATTGCTCTGTTATCAAAATGTGCATTGATTTTATTTCTGTGTTCTTTCTTCTGAGATAATTTATGATAAGAGCACAAATCTGTTGGATACGGGTTATGGAAGTGGTGCCGGCTCTCGCTACCATGGTGAAGTTCTGTGTTGATTGTGAGGCCAGGTAGATGGCCTGCTCTCATGCACTCTTCAATATAATTGATCATTTTCTCCTGCTAATTATTACTAGATGGATCTTTGGTGCCAATTCTGAGAAATTGTAAGGCAGGACAGTCTTGTGGGGAATTCACCCCCTCTCAAAATCATGAGCCTTCAAAATACTTTTGAAGAAAGTTTATACTAGGACTCAGATTGGTTGAGTTAATGCCCCTCTGGTAACTTAGCTTCAGAATCACATACTGTGTTATGCCCTAGGTTTATTTCAATTGAAGTTTTGATTATTGTGCAAATGAAATGTTCAGAATTAATAAGCAAGTTCATAACCATTGACTACAAAAGTGTGAAAAGTGTGTGTGATTTTTATTAAAAAAGAACAAATAGCCTTATTTCCTTCTATTGGTTTTTCTTTTTTTGGTTAACCTTCCTTTAAATCTATTTGCTTATAAAAGCACTCATTTTACCCACATTTTAGGCAATGACTGGATAATTTGATATATAAAATCATATTGCTCTTATTGGGCCGCTCTTAGTGATCTTTGAAATTGACTTTTCCTTTTTATGCATTGTTATTTCATTGAAATAACTGATGACAATTTAATTTTTTTGTAGGTTTCTTTGATTACTTTAGTTGCAAACACTCTTGGCTACTCAGACCTTGGCCCTATTAAATCCCTTCGGACACTTAGAGCTTTAAGACCTCTACGAGCTTTATCTAGATTTGAAGGAATGAGGGTAAGAAAATACTAAGCTTCCTAATATGATATTCCTATTTTTTAAATGAAGTATAAAATATGAAAAATGCATATATAGAAATTATGAATGAATTGCTTATATTTGCACACGTGTACAAATACATACATATATATGGACTGCTTATGCATATAGGTGTGTATAATGTGCTTATAGACATAGTATTTTGGTGCATATTGTTTAACAAACAGTAAGTCAAATACAGTAAGTCAAATGCCTCTTTCATATAATATTGTTAAGCAATAATCCAAACAAGTGACATCGCCCTTCTTAAATAAAAATCTGCCCTCTGCTAGGAGATTCAAGGGAAGGGGACTCAGTTCCTCCTCACTTCTCTCATAAATGAGGCACAGCAAGGTGCTCAAGGTGCTTGCCTGAATCAGGTGCTCAAATATTTTTAAGGAACTACCATGGGCAAGGGGCATAAGAAAAGACAGGGAAGTCAAGTAGCCCTTCCGTTTTAATTTCATTTTTAAAGTAAATGTTTAAGTGACAGTGGAATTATCACCAAATTATTTTTGAGAAAACTAAAGGTGTGAGAATTCATGGAATTCCATTACACTGCATGGTTCCTGAAAAGAAATTCATTTTTCAGAGATAAACAAGATACATAATAGCTGCCAGCAACCTAGCTTTTAAGGCTATTTTAAGCCATCCACTTCTTCCTAAAATACATGGAGATCAATGACTTAATTTTTTTTAATGAGTCCATATCCTCATTTGTTGCCTTTCTTCTCAAATCGCTTTCCCAGGTTCATACCTGCTTTCTCATGCCTCTTTCATTTTCTTGGCCCAGAATGTTTCTCCCTGCCCTGTCTCACCCCAGCTCATCAGCGTAGCGGGCAGACACCTACCATCCCTTAAGCTTCAATGTAAATTCGCTTTATCAATTGGGCCTCCTTCCTCTATGTTCAGACACAAAATCCTCATTATATTGTATTTTACTTACTTATGTATGTGGTTGCCTCTCTACCTGTAGTCTCTGAGCAATTTAACATGCAGATTAGTTTGACTCCTGCTTCTCCAAATGTGGTCCAATGATCACTATCATCCAAAAACTTATTAAAAATGCAAATTCTTAGGTCTCACCCCAGGGCTACTGAATCACAAACTCTGGGATGGGGCTCAGAAATCCAAAGCCTCACATGAATATTAGCGATCTTTTCCTTTAGCAAATCTTCTTTTTTATCTGTGCTCACCTAATTATGACTGTCATCTCTACTGCTTAATATATCTAGTGTGTAAAGGTTCTGTGTATATGAGATGATGATTATGCAAAAAGAAGAATTTTCAAAGTAAAATTCAAGTACTCTATCATTTAAGAATTGAAAAATTATGTTATATTTGATACAGAAAGATTGTATTGGAATCAATTGACTGTAACTTAATTTTTTGATCATTAGTAGAATGTTGTTATAATCTATCCAGAACTTATGACTGATTCTTGGACTCAAGCAGACAATATAGTGTATTTTCATGAACAAAGAATATAATTTCCCCTACAAAATTACTTCCCTTAGTGATTAGGCCAGTCCATTATTTTACGCTGTTTGTTCTCTGTTCTTTATAATACAGATAAATTGGATGCAGGAGAATGTTTTAATATATTTGGAGGAACAAATATATCTACTTGGTTATATTTATTCACTGTGCAAAAAGGAGATGTTTCTTCACATTGCAGGCTTGTTTTGAAGAATAGATGAAATAATTATTTGAGACATTTGTTAGTTAGCTCCCCTAGAATCTTGAGGCATGAGCTTACTGACTTTTCCAAATGGTTTCTCATCAGAGCAGTGTGTACCAGCTCCCTTGAAGACTCACCATTGCTCACGGCCTTTCAGCACACATGTTAATCACCACCTATGTGTCAGGTGTTATGCTGTAAGTAAGGGTAGAATAGTGAACAGACCCCAGTCCCCAAGACTGAGTGTGGACAATGGTCATGGAAAGACAAAGGAATAATAGTGAGTCTATGACATCTGCTCTAAAACAGCACACAATAAAATGGCTGTCTGGAGAAATCTAGGAAGCCTTCACAGGGAGGTGACATTGAGTCATGACTGAAGGAGTGGGCCCCAAATCCCAGGCAGGTAAGCATTCCAGGCAGAGATGCCACATTGTGAAGCAGCTTGCACAAAGCATATTTGAGAAAGACTCCAAGGGTCAGTGTGCACAGGGTGAGGTCAGAAGGAAATGAGGATGAAAGAGTGGGCTTGCATAAGAGTTAACCATTTGAAGCTTTATTTTCTAATCCTGTTCTTCCTAACGTTTTTTAGTGTCATGTGCACTGTAAGAAACTCATGAAAGCACGATCATCTCTCCATAAAGAAAGCATACCCATAATGTTTCCATATAATTGCATGCCTGCATGCACCCTCTGCAGGCCCATGGACCCAGGGTCATGACTATACCTCTGGACCAGGGGTCAATAAACCAGAGCCCACAGGCTGGCTACTGTTTTGTAAAGGGAGTTTTATTGGATCTCAGCCATGCCCATTTGTTTGTGTTTGATCTGTTGCTACCATGCAGAATTGAATAGTTGCAACAGTGATCATATAACCCTGAAAGCCTAAAATTACTTAAGAAAATGCCTGCCAGCCCCAGCTGTAGGCAGTCTCAAAGGGAGTCAAAGATCCTTAATGTTTCACTATTTAAAATTGTCTTAAGAACCTGCAAAAAAGAGGTAGCACAATGCTCTTACTTGACTAATTCACCTTTATTACATTTGGACTCAAGTTCATGAACTAGAGCTGAAGTGTAAGGAGACAGGTAGGTTTTTTGGGGTGGAGTAATTAAGAAAAATCTGGAGAGTGGCAGGTGCTCTGGTAGTTGTCAGGTAAGGAAGTCGGAGTGGCAAATGGCACTGGTTTTTAATAGCAGTGGAAATGCTGAAAAGCAGAAATAAAGAAAGTATTAGAGAGAAACTACACTTCATGTTTTAACTGAAGCCAGAACTATCTACGTTTAGCCAAGGACTTACATTTAAAGTATTTTTAGAGTTAGAATAATAAACTTGAAAAGATTGCTCTCATTTTGCAAATGAGGAAGCAGAGGTCCCAAGATCTTACTGAATTCACATGACACACAACTAGCAGAACCAGTTAAATTCAAGGGCTTCACGCCACTGAAAGACTCCCAATATTAACTCCAGTTTCTACACACCAGTAGTTTCTGTACATAGGAGAATTTTAGCACTAGTAATTCTAGGACTGTGAACCTTTAAATGTACATTTTATTTATTTTTAATCATTTACATTTATAAATTTCTTTGAACAGTACACAGGTTTTACAACTTTGGCTTACAGGTTTCGGGGTTATTTTTTCATGTTTAAGCTCTCACATCATCATAGTTTGTTTTCTATTGTTGCTAATAGTTTCAATGTTTGTTCATCATGTATTGTTGATCAGAGGGCTCCTGTTTCATCTTGCTTGGCATACTGCTGAGCATTTTAGTAGGCACTCAATTAGTACTTATTGGCTGGTTGATTAGATATCTTAAACATTTAAGAGTGGCTTTTTTAATATCTTTAATTCTGCCTTGTGTTTCATGAATGTTTCCCATTTAGCGTTTTTACTAATCCTGTTCTTTTCTTCCTTTGGAAAACCAGGTGGTCGTGAATGCACTCATAGGTGCAATTCCCTCCATCATGAATGTGCTACTCGTGTGTCTTATATTTTGGCTAATATTTAGCATCATGGGAGTAAATTTGTTCGCTGGCAAGTTCTATGAGTGTGTTAACACAACAGATGGGTCACGTTTTCCCATAAGTCATGTTCAAAATCGCTCTGAATGTTTTGCACTGATGAATGTTACGCAGGATGTGCGGTGGAAAAACCTGAAGGTGAACTTTGATAATGTTGGACTTGGCTACCTGTCTCTGCTTCAAGTTGTAAGTGCCCCCTTTCATGAATGCTTGATATTTTAGTGGATTCTGGATAAAGAATATAAGTAATTCTTTAATCCATTTTCTAGAAGTTAAAGTATTTATTCACCTTATAAAGAGACATGGTCTTTCTTAGAACGTGTGCCTATAAAACATGAGTTAAGATGCATATGTTCTGACTCACTTGAGTGATTAATCCAATAACTGACCTTTTAGTGTCATATGGACACTCACCATTGTACCATCTGAATACTGATCCAAAAATGAATAGACATTTTTGGACTGCCAGTTTTACCCTATATGTAAATGAAAGAGACTTTCCACTAACACAGAGAATCCATAAGAAATGGAGAAAAATTGTCCCCTGTCTTATTTATAACATTCTCCTCTACTTCTTGAAAAATGAAAGTTCAGGTGTAAAATTCACAAAAATTGTAACCACATGCAAATAAGTAACTAGTACTAAGATTTAGAATGTGACTTGGGAATGTGGTTTAGTTCTTGGAACAGAATCTTTACATTAAGTTGGTATTTCGAAATACAGTAAAACTTCGTGATTTGATATTACTTAAATGTTGTAACATTAAAGGGACTAAACTTATGCATGGCTATTTTAGAGTATGAGCTTCATATTCGGATTCCATAATTCTTCTGTTTATAGGCGACATTCAAAGGATGGATGGATATTATGTATGCAGCTGTTGATTCTGTTAATGTAAGTATTGGGCAACATAACACTGAACTGTACAAGTTTTAATAAGCTGTTTAATTTAGTTTGGCTATTTTTTAAAAGTATGTCCAAGGAGCCCTTGGTATGTACACACAAAATAAATAGCTTTCTCATAATAGAAGCCTAGTGATTATGTGTGCAGCATTTGGAGATGCGGTTTGACTCAAATTCTGACCCTCGCATATCATTCAAGCTCTGCAACTGACTTTTGTAAGAATGATTATATTGAGCCTCAAAATGCAATGGCTTCTGAAAGGCCAAGTTCATGTAGGATAGCACTGTTTGAATTACCTTGTCCAACCATGTGAACAGGAAAATGATAAATGTTATTGTTAACATACTGTTGACTTTTGTGAATTTTGTAGGTAGACAAGCAGCCCATATATGAATACAGCCTCTACATGTATATTTATTTTGTCATCTTCATCATCTTTGGGTCCTTCTTCACTTTGAACTTGTTCATTGGTGTAATCATAGATAATTTCAATCAACAAAAGAAAAAGATAAGTATTTTAAGTTTGTTTCATCACACTGAAAAATATGAACAATGGTTCTCCCAAAAATGTAATGTGAAATTGGCTTTGATATCAATCAGTCATTAGCTTCATTAGAACTTCATTTCTTTTTCAAGTAATTGGCCAGTATACAGTTACAGATGTGCTTAATCTCATTCATCTCTGCATGGAAAATAATTATCTCCTAAGAACAATTACACTCTCCTAAGTCATAACTATTTGTAAAATATAGTATGACAACTAGACAGGTGCTTTTTTCAAAGTTCCTCACAGAGGATTGAATGATTAAGAAAAGTTAATGCACTAATTATTTATTCAAAACACATTTCATGAGTAGTTACTTCATTCTCTTCTGAGCCACCACTCTGGCTGGTATGTATCGGGCTGGCCTTTGAGAGCATAAGATAGGGCTCCTGAGCTCAAGGAGTTTGTGTTGTGGCAGAAGAATGATACATGTAATGGAAATTAGGATTTGGCGAATGTTGCAGGTGTGGTGTTCCCCTGAGATTTCTGTGTCATTAACCTTCACATCAGCTGCCTTAGTTCCTTAGGGCTGCTGCAACCAAGTACCCCAGACTTCTGGTTGGCTACTATTCTCTTACAGTTATGGAGGCGGGGAGTCCAAACTCAAAGTGTTGGCAGGGCCACCCTCTCTCAGAGCCTTTAGGGAAGGATCCTTCCACACACCTTCCGGCTCCTGGTAGCTCAAGACCTACTTGGTTAGGGCGGCCTAACGCCGCTCTCTGCCTCCAGGGTTATCATTCCATGTCCTCTCTCCATGTCTGTCTCCTCTTCTTATAAGGGCGCTGGTCATTTGGATTAATGTCTACCCTACTCTATATGACCTCCCTTTAACTATGTCTGCAACGACAATATTTCCAAATAAGGTGATTCTGAGGGACCAGAGGTTAGGAGTTCAATATATCTTTTTATGGGGAGGGGATCCAATTCAATCCATAACGTCAACCATAAAAGATAATATTATTAAAGACTTCATCTTATAAGTAAGGACAGGCACAGAGAGATTAGGTGATTTACCTAAGATCATGCATCTAGTAAGTGATAGAGTTTTCATAGAGTCAGTAGTTGATCCCAGGTACCTTGTATATGTTGATGCCCTTTACTATGCTGTATTCCCAAATATTATAATATGAGATAGCGATAAATGCAATAAGCAAAATTAACAAAAAAAATGCAAATGGATAATAAGATGAAAAATATAAACAGCTATAGAAATTTTTATGCTTTATGTGACAACTGACAGGCCTTGGAAAATGAGTAAGAAGAGATGCAGCAACTAGGAGGTAAAAGGAAAGATGATCCACATGGAAGGGAAGAGAGATGTGTGAGCACAAGCAGGATGCCGCTCAAACAGGCGACGATCCAGGAGGAATAGCTGTGCGTTCGGTTTGAGTGGAATTTTGAGAAGAGAAATAGTGAAAGAAGTGACCTTGGCTTGCTTGAAAGTAGATCTGAAAAGTCCTAGATATTGCATTAGATAGTTTTCAGTAGAAGCTGATGCGATGGTTATTTTGAGCAGGAAGCACATATAAGCAGGATGTTGACATTTATTAAGGCCTGATGATGTGTCTGATCCAGTATCAAGTACTTCACACGTGTAAACTTAGTCAAGTTTTCCAACAAATCTAGAAGGCGTGGTATCCCCACTTCACTTCTCAGAAAGGTTATGTGATTGGCATGTGATCTGAATCTAAGAAGTAGCTTCATCATAGATCTAACTGCAGGGTCTCTATTCCAGGGACTATGAAAATTCAATTTTAATAAAAAATGAATCTAGTAATGATGCGTAGAATGATTGGAAAGAGACCAAAGACTAGATCAGACTCTGCTTTACCTGCCACCTGGACCACACTCAAGTCTCCAAATTAGTAATTTGCAGCAACATGGAATAGGGGATATATTCAATTTGAGAGATTTTAGTAGTGCAACATTGCCTCTTGGACCTTTTTAACTTCAGTACTTTGATCTCAGCTTATGACTCTAGCAACTACACATTCTTTTTTCTAATAACCAACCCCACTTCACTGGTTTTTCTAATATCCATCATCCTTGTAAGTTCTGCTTTCATCTTTAATAAATTCATGTGATAATTAGGTTTTAGTAGCTCACCAGAAGACACACATCTGAAAATTAGAACACAAGTTATTCATGGGTCTAAGTTAAAAAAGGGAAAAGTATACAATAGATGTACACAAATGCCTGGTACAGACCTGGATACATATAAGTAAGTTCTACCTAAAGTAACCCCTTTCAGTAATTGTGACCTTATTAGGAAGGTTTTTAGTAACTAGCAGGTATTGAGGGCTGTGTATCTAGCATTATGCTGAATGTTTGAATGCCTTTTCTCAATTGATCTCACAGAAAAACAATGAGGTAGTTTCCTTCTAAAGATGAAGTGAGTTTTCCATACAGGGATTAAGAAATTTTCCTAAGGACAACAGAGATGGGATTTGAACAAAGATGATCTGATACAAAAACTGAAGTGTTAGCTACTGTGTGACACAGCCTTGACACAGAGTGTAACATGGAAAAGGGCCATCTAGCTTCTAAGGGATGCATTTTGCACAGTCTATAAAGCTACAGTGCAACAAAACTAAACAATACAAGTTTCTCTTTTGGAGCATTTTGTACTCTCTTAATTTCATCCCACCCTTTGTTATATTGACAGCCCAAGTATCATCCAGGGAAGACAAAGTCTGCTACTCTGATTCTTAGCTCTAATTCAGAGTTCTCACCCCCATGTTTTCCTAGTTGCTTCTACTAGGTTCCTGATATGCTCTGATATTCAGGCCCCTGTTCAGTGAGCAATAATTGATCTGGGCGTCTCTTAGCATTGGCGTGAAGACGGTCTGTCATGCCTAGCATCAGCACATCAGATGAATACCAAAATTACATAAAGACTGCATATCAACTAGGAAAGGTGAACTAAAACATTCCAAGACAGAAAAGACAGTCTGATTTTTAAGTGTTTGATCTTTTTTTCTTTAAGCAATAACAGGAAGCTGAATGTTACTAATACAGAGAAACTAAAAGGGAACTATAACCAAATTATTTTAACTCCAAGTTAAGTAAGAATTTCAGAACTATAAATTCCCCCAAATAAATTCCTAATTGCATGGGTTACATCAATTTATGCTATAACTAAAAAGTTGATATTATGGATCAGTGTACAATATACATGAATATTTAAAAATTACAGATAATTTTAAGAAATTAGCAGACCCAGAAGAACAGGCAAAGTTTCCAGGCCCCCTTTGTGAGATTTCGTCTCTTATAGGAGAAAGAGGATCAAAAACTTCATTTAGATGTTAGGTTTTTTTTTTTTTCTCAGTGTGAAATCTTAAAGGTCATGTATTTGGTTAGAAAATCCTTTAGGTCAGGGATCCTGGATTATTGATAATTTCCTCAATTACTTAGAAGTGTATTATATATAATGTTGACACTGCATGAAGTGCTCATGTTGAAATTCCTTTATTTGGGATTAAAGCACATAGCTTCAAATAGCACAGGTTGCCTCACCAATCATTATTATATGTAATACATGTATATGCACATTACATTATGTGTGGAGAGTCTGTGCCTGCAGATAGGTAAGCCTTTAAGACAGGTTTTATTTATAGCTGCATTGCACATGCCAAAATGCAGTTTACTTCTATGAATACATTTCTAACCTGTCTTAATGATCTGAGGACAGATCCAAGCAACTCTGGTTTTAACTAGAATTGTTTTGTATCCTTTACCTTGGAGGTCAAGACATATTTATGACAGAAGAACAAAAGAAATATTACAATGCAATGAAGAAGCTGGGATCTAAGAAGCCACAAAAGCCCATACCTCGGCCAGGGGTAAAAAATTAAATAAACACACACGCCCTATATGTATATAATCTTTAGCATGCAACTTTTCAAGTTACTTTTAATGTTCAACTATTTCTTAAACATGAATGCTATTCAGTAGTTTGAACAGAAGTCCTTATAAAACTGAACATATGTATTTTGAACATAATCACAATTTTCAATGTTTTTTTATTTTTCTATAAAATGAAAATATGTATGCTTTTATATTCGTTATACAACTTACTACTATTACAATGGCCTGTAGAGAATCAAAATAAAATGTACTTTTTTTTGGTATCATTAATCTACAGTTACATGAGGAACATTATGTTTACTAGACTCCCCCCCCCACTGCTTTACCTGCCACCTGGACCACACTCAAGTCTCCAAATTAGTAATTTGCAGCAACATGGAATAGGGGATATATTCAATTTGAGAGATTTTAGTAGTGCAACATTGCCTCTTGGACCTTTTTAACTTCAGTACTTTGATCTCAGCTTATGACTCTAGCAACTACACATTCTTTTTTCTAATAACCAACCCCACTTCACTGGTTTTTCTAATATCCATCATCCTTGTAAGTTCTGCTTTCATCTTTAATAAATTCATGTGATAATTAGGTTTTAGTAGCTCACCAGAAGACACACATCTGAAAATTAGAACACAAGTTATTCATGGGTCTAAGTTAAAAAAGGGAAAAGTATACAATAGATGTACACAAATGCCTGGTACAGACCTGGATACATATAAGTAAGTTCTACCTAAAGTAACCCCTTTCAGTAATTGTGACCTTATTAGGAAGGTTTTTAGTAACTAGCAGGTATTGAGGGCTGTGTATCTAGCATTATGCTGAATGTTTGAATGCCTTTTCTCAATTGATCTCACAGAAAAACAATGAGGTAGTTTCCTTCTAAAGATGAAGTGAGTTTTCCATACAGGGATTAAGAAATTTTCCTAAGGACAACAGAGATGGGATTTGAACAAAGATGATCTGATACAAAAACTGAAGTGTTAGCTACTGTGTGACACAGCCTTGACACAGAGTGTAACATGGAAAAGGGCCATCTAGCTTCTAAGGGATGCATTTTGCACAGTCTATAAAGCTACAGTGCAACAAAACTAAACAATACAAGTTTCTCTTTTGGAGCATTTTGTACTCTCTTAATTTCATCCCACCCTTTGTTATATTGACAGCCCAAGTATCATCCAGGGAAGACAAAGTCTGCTACTCTGATTCTTAGCTCTAATTCAGAGTTCTCACCCCCATGTTTTCCTAGTTGCTTCTACTAGGTTCCTGATATGCTCTGATATTCAGGCCCCTGTTCAGTGAGCAATAATTGATCTGGGCGTCTCTTAGCATTGGCATGAAGACGGTCTGTCATGCCTAGCATCAGCACATCAGATGAATACCAAAATTACATAAAGACTGCATATCAACTAGGAAAGGTGAACTAAAACATTCCAAGACAGAAAAGAGAGTCTGATTTTTAAGTGTTTGATCTTTTTTTCTTTAAGCACTAACGGGAAGCTGAATGTTACTAATACAGAGAAACTAAAAGGGAACTATAACCAAATTATTTTAACTCCAAGTTAAGTAAGAATTTCAGAACTATAAATTCCCCCAAATAAATTCCTAATTGCATGGGTTACATCAATTTATGCTATAACTAAAAAGTTGATATTATGGATCAGTGTACAATATACATGAATATTTAAAAATTACAGATAATTTTAAGAAATGAGCAGACCCAGAAGAACAGGCAAAGTTTCCAGGCCCCCTTTGTGAGATTTCGTCTCTTATAGGAGAAAGAGGATCAAAAACTTCATTTAGATGTTAGGTTTTTTTTTTTTTCTCAGTGTGAAATCTTAAAGGTCATGTATTTGGTTAGAAAATCCTTTAGGTCAGGGATCCTGGATTATTGATAATTTCCTCAATTACTTAGAAGTGTATTATATATAATGTTGACACTGCATGAAGTGCTCATGTTGAAATTCCTTTATTTGGGATTAAAGCACATAGCTTCAAATAGCACAGGTTGCCTCACCAATCATTATTATATGTAATACATGTGTATGCACATTACATTATGTGTGGAGAGTCTGTGCCTGCAGATAGGTAAGCCTTTAAGACAGGTTTTATTTATAGCTGCATTGCACATGCCAAAATGCAGTTTACTTCTATGAATACATTTCTAACCTGTCTTAATGATCTGAGGACAGATCCAAGCAACTCTGGTTTTAACTAGAATTGTTTTGTATCCTTTACCTTGGAGGTCAAGACATATTTATGACAGAAGAACAAAAGAAATATTACAATGCAATGAAGAAGCTGGGATCTAAGAAGCCACAAAAGCCCATACCTCGGCCAGGGGTAAAAAATTAAATAAACACACACGCCCTATATGTATATAATCTTTAGCATGCAACTTTTCAAGTTACTTTTAATGTTCAACTATTTCTTAAACATGAATGCTATTCAGTAGTTTGAACAGAAGTCCTTATAAAACTGAACATATGTATTTTGAACATAATCACAATTTTCAATGTTTTTTTATTTTTCTATAAAATGAAAATATGTATGCTTTTATATTCGTTATACAACTTACTACTATTACAATGGCCTGTAGAGAATCAAAATAAAATGTACTTTTTTTTGGTATCATTAATCTACAGTTACATGAGGAACATTATGTTTACTAGACTCCCCCCCCCCATTACCAAAAATGTACTTTTGATCGAAATTTATTTATCTAAATCACAACAGTATTATGTAGTGGTCGCTGTCCATCAGGCAGGTGAAACTAACATGTAGATCTGATATCACAATAAATAGCAAGAGGAGCGGTTAGACTGGCCATGAATCTAGACTTTATCCTACTGCACCAGCTGAACCGGCTCAGATTAAAAGACTGAACCTTGGCAATCAAAGAATAGTTTTTATTCCTCTAACAATTGAAAAAAAACTCTAAGTGCATTAGGTGCATTCCAATTTATATTCAACATAACACACCTTACCAAACATTCATGACTGAATACAGAGCATCCTAAAAAAATGACTACCAATCAGTACTCAGCTGCGTATATATAGATCGCCCTCCATTTTTCAAATGCACACGTTGCCAGCTCTCAACCAGACCTACCGAATCATCATCTATGGAGAAGCCCTGGCATTTAATTTTTGAGTGCCCTATTCGATCTTGATACAATACTTTAAAACTTGCCTATGCAATTTAAAAAGGGATTTTGTAAAAGCTTGTTTGTTTCCTGGAAAACATAGTACTAGCAGTGAGATTGACAAGAAAGGTGATCTGTAAGTATGGCTAAATATGGAAATATGTATCATGTGTATATATGTATATACATGGAAGCAATAGAAAAATATAGGTCTCTGATATTATAACAGTCATTTCAGTTTAAACAGTTTGATGAAGTAGATATTTAGAGACATGTTATTTTATTTCCTTGAAATACTGTGATCATAGAGCTGAAGTTTTCTTAGTGAAAAATTACCCTGTGATAGTGGCAGTTCATTTATGGCACACTAGGAGAGACGAGCTTAAAAGCAAATATAAGTGCTCAGGGGTAGCTGAAAATGGGCCTGATATACTGCAAGTCAGTAACAGAGTTTTCATTTACTCTGACTTAGTTTTAACCCATATCAGTACTTTTTGTAGAAAGCAAGAACCTATGACCAGGGATAATTTATGCAAGTTTTGAAGACAGAGACTTCTTATGGAAAATTTTTTACTAATGTAATGAGTAGATACTACTTGCCAACTTTATTCTGCATTCCATATTCTGTTTCTTTGCAGAACAGACTCCAAGGATGTGTGTTCGACCTCGTCACAAACCAGGCCTTCGACATCAGCATCATGGTCCTCATCTGCCTCAACATGGTCACCATGATGGTGGAGAGGGAGGGGCAAAGTCAATACATGACGGACGTCCTATACTGGATAAATCTGGTGTTCATTATCCTGTTCACCGGAGAGTGTGTGCTGAAATTGATCTCCCTCAGACACTACTACTTTACTGTCGGATGGAACATTTTTGATTTTGTGGTTGTGATTCTCTCCATTGTGGGTAAGACCATCTATTCATCAGATTTTAATTTTGAATCAAACTGCACACATGCCCAGAGACGTTTCTGAATTACTGCATGTAAATGTACTTTTGAGAAAGTAAAATGAAAGATTGAAGGGAATTCCTCTGGGTTCACACCATGGGCCTCAAAGCCACAAGTTTTCTATTTGTTGGAAATACATAATATTCTTTGATATTTTGTTTCTAAGGTTACCCCTCACAAAGGCAGCAACTGTCTGTGTCTGTAGGTCTGTCTTAGAAGGACCAGCACACAGAAAACACCCCCAGTGTTGATACACGTGGGAACTACCCCTCAATTAATGGTAATAATAGCCAGCATATTGGTGACTATGAAAGTTCTTCCTGAATTCAAAGTGAAGTTAAGGTCTCAAAAAGTGCCATCTTCATTTCTTATAACTTCATATTTGGCAAGTCTATAAAATGCAGTTATTTTTCAATCAACCCCAATCATGTCTGTGAGTCACAGTACATGATTTTATCTTCCTCCCTTTTCATTACTATAGCTATTTTTCTATCCACATGCCTTGCCCAGTAGTTTAGGATTACATTTTAGTTGTAGAATTGTGAGTCATTTAAACAAACCCAATTTACAGTTGATGAAGCAGGCAGGCCTAGAAAGGTTAAACATCACATAACGTAGAACCACAGTATTGAGTACCACATATCTTAGAAAACTACACAGCCAGTTCAGCTGCAGAGAAGCCCAGACTCTAGCTGGTGGCTCTTCTCCAGGTTCCTCTGCAGAGCTGCTGTAATGTCTTTCTGACACAAAAATATGACCAAAACCTCCAGTGCTTTACCCTTGCTTACAGAGAGCTTCAGGAATTATCCCCACCGTTTTCCAGCCTCACCTCCTGCCATACCACACTGTCTGTGTATCTTCTTCCCTACTCCTCAGCCACCGCCCACCCACCATCACCACTATGATGTGCTACACACATAACTACACAGATTCTCTGCCCTTCTCTGAACACTCCGTGCTCTTGTAGCTCTGCCACTTTACATAGGGTATTTTCTCTCCCTGGAATGCTTTGCCTAGCAAACCCTTAACCATCCTTTAAGAGCCAGCTTAAGGGTACCCTCCTACATAAAGCCTGTTTTATTTATGAGTCTTGGGGTTTATTTTTATCTATGCAGTGCTTTTTTTTTCTGGCATATCCTTATGCATTTTCCTACCCCACATGGGAATGACTGTCTCATATTTTTATGCAATTCTGATACCAAGTGCATTGTCTAGCACACAGAGAGAGTTGAAAAATTATTGAATAAAGCAGTAAAACTATCAACAATGAAATAAGAAAACATTTTCTCCTTTACAAAAATATACTTGACACACCTGACCCACCTTCCAAACATAATACAATCAAATTAGGATCTTGTGCTAATCAATTTTATGTGATTATGGATTTTGCATAATATCAAAGTACTCAGAATTTCACATAAATAGGAAGAGCAGAATATATCTGTATGAAAAGGATAATATCCATTTAAAAATTGAGAAAAGATTATGGAAAAACTCAAATATTTTTGTGAAAGTGCTCTTATAACACATGTTGGGATTGTAACCAGTTTTATACCATGTCTTTACTTTGGAGGTCAAGACATCTTTATGACAGAGGAACAGAAAAAATATTACAATGCAATGAAGAAACTTGGATCCAAGAAACCTCAGAAGCCCATACCTCGGCCATCAGTAAGAATTTCTCATCCTCTTTAACATTCCAAGGCCCTACTTCCATATGATGAAATCGGACAGTGCTCTGGATGGGAACATATTGGGTGGATGTAATATGCCCTTATTGTGAAGCTCATATTCACAATTATACACTCAATAAGAATTATTAAATTCTTAAAGAAGAGGTAATGTTCTTTATAATATGTCAGCTGAAAACCTCCAACTCAAGAGCTCCCAGTAACTGCTTCCAAAACAAGCATCATGCCCCTGCTGCCACCTACTGCTGCCAAACAATGTGCCCAGCTCCTCTCCTCTGTTACAAGGCACCCTCTTGTCCTTTTAAGTGGATGGAATTTTCCAGACTTCCCATCCTATCCCTATGGTCCCTCTGCTATTTGTTCTCTCCATTCTATGACTAGAAATATGATTAACCTTTTTAGAAAGCAAAAGGGTGTTGTTAAATTAGTTTGTTTCACCAAAATAAAGAAAAAAGAAAAAGACTTATTCAGGATGCATACTGTTTAGAGCATCATAATAACAGAAAGACATAACAATGATGGATTATGTTCACAAAGCTGTCCTCTTTACTTAGATGGACATGATTAAAGAAACTAAGGCCCAAGAAAGGTAAAGTACTGCACCCAAAGTCACAGAGCCTATATATACATGCCAGAACTTGAATTTGACAAGGTCTCATGAACCGTATAAATGACTTCACTTTACCATATTTTTAACAGTTGTTGGAGCTGGGTTAGGGGAGTAGGCAATGGAAGGGGAAAGACAGGAAATGGTCACAGAAGGGTATGAACTTGCTTTTCTAATGGTCATTTAAATATTATAGTTAACCTTGGTCAGTTCATGAACTTGATTTTTGGTTACATGAAATTTTCTTTTAAATTTGTATTCTCAATTGTTAAAAATTTATTTCCCTAATAAAAATGTGCTTCACAGCCACATGAGTACAGAAATTTTTAAAAGCATGTGGCCTCTAAGATGATAGGAAAAAAATAGGTCATGCATTTTTGTTGAAGCAAAGGTAAAAGGACAGATGAAGAGAGAAATTAACAAACACAGTTAGCAAAGGTACAATTAATGAGAAAATAACTGACATTTTGAGGGTGCAAGAGATGGAAATAAGATACAACCCAAAATTTCTAAAATATTGATAAATGGATTAGGGTATTCATCCATCAAAAAATGTCTTTATTAACCTACATTGTAACTCCTCATTATCAGCTGTCATTATTTTAATTAATCAGTTATTTAAATCAAGCAAAGCCCATGCACACTAACAGTCAACTTTCACCAATTTATGTCTTATTCAGTTTTGTCTTTCCAGCGGCCCTAAATAAAACAAGTACATTTTGTTCTCGTCATATGACTTTTTACATTTTTCTCTTTTGTTTTAATGTATAGAAACATAAGAAATTATTTGGGATAATGCGAGAGGGGTGTACATCTCACAGCCATTTCTAGAAGGACTTCATCTGCAACTTTACTGGATCATTATCTATGAAATATGCATATTAATCTTCTCTCTCCTCTCTCTCTTTCCAGAACAAGTTCCAAGGCATGGTCTTTGACTTCGTGACCAGGCAGGCCTTCGACATCAGCATCATGATCCTCATCTGCCTGAACATGGTCACCATGATGGTGGAGACCGACGACCAGAGCAAATACATGACACTCGTTTTATCCAGGATCAACCTCGTGTTTATTATCCTGTTCACTGGGGAATCTGTGCTGAAGCTTATATCCCTCAGATACTACTACTTCACCATAGGCTGGAACATCTTTGATTTTGTGGTGGTGATTCTCTCCATTGTAGGTAAGAATGGTTTAATTACAAAGATTGCAGCTGTAGGAAAAGCCCCCTCAGTGCCTGACAGCTGCGTAATGTGGAAATCAGGTCTGAGCGTCATCATGTGTGTAATTCTAAAGTTCACCACTATTGTCATTTTCCTCCAACACAAGAATGTCAGTATGCAAAAATAGAAAACAATGTATTTGGAGATTTCAGAAAGAATCTTTGTAATCACCACATTTCATGTATGGAGGTAACTCTAAATAGTAATCGGGTATATATTCTTAAATTGCCATGCCACAATCTGAGATTATTTAATTTGTTGGGCTTTGCAAAAGTCCATATTGGTTTATGACATAGAACCATTGAATAAAACTCTGTAACCTTTAATTGCTAATTTAGAGAGCAGATCCAAATTCTTAGTAAAGGTTTATACTTAAAACAAATTTGTTTTCATAGACCTTGCAAAGATCAAGCACTCATATATATAAGCATAAAATACTCACCATTTAGCTGTTGTCTGTATTTTTCCACAGGCATGTTTCTGGCCGAGCTGATAGAGAAGTATTTCGTGTCCCCTACCCTGTTCCGAGTGATCCGTCTCGCCAGGATTGGCCGGATCCTGCGTCTGATCAAAGGGGCGAAGGGGATCCGCACGCTGCTCTTCGCCCTGATGATGTCCCTCCCCGCGCTGTTCAACATCGGCCTCCTGCTCTTCCTGGTCATGTTCATCTACGCCATCTTTGGAATGTCCAACTTCGCCTACGTTAAGAGGGAAGCTGGAATCGATGACATGTTCAACTTCGAGACCTTTGGCAACAGCATGATCTGCCTGTTCCAGATCACCACCTCGGCCGGCTGGGACGGGCTGCTAGCCCCTATTCTCAACAGCGCGCCACCCGACTGCGACCCTGACACAATTCACCCTGGAAGCTCAGTTAAGGGGGACTGTGGGAACCCATCTGTGGGGATTTTCTTCTTCGTCAGCTACATCATCATATCCTTTCTGGTTGTGGTGAACATGTACATCGCCGTCATCCTGGAGAACTTCAGCGTTGCTACCGAAGAAAGTGCAGAGCCCCTGAGCGAGGATGACTTTGAGATGTTCTACGAGGTCTGGGAGAAGTTCGACCCCGACGCCACCCAGTTCATGGAATACAGCAAACTCTCCGATTTTGCAGCTGCCCTGGATCCTCCTCTGCTCATCGCAAAGCCAAACAAAGTCCAGCTCATCGCCATGGACCTGCCCATGGTCAGCGGGGACCGGATCCACTGCCTGGACATCTTATTTGCCTTTACAAAGCGGGTTCTGGGTGAAAGCGGAGAGATGGATGCTCTCCGAGTACAGATGGAAGACAGGTTCATGGCATCAAACCCCTCCAAAGTCTCCTATGAGCCCATTACAACCACTTTGAAACGCAAACAAGAGGAGGTGTCTGCTGCTATCATTCAGCGTAATTTCAGGTGTTATCTTTTAAGACAAAGGTTAAAAAAGGTATCATCTGAATATAACAAAGAGGCAATCAAAGGGAGGATTGATTTACCTCTAAAAGAAGACATGATTATTGACAAATTAAATGGGAACTCCACCCCAGAAAAAACAGATGGAAGTTCCTCTACCACCTCTCCTCCTTCCTATGATAGTGTGACCAAGCCAGACAAAGAGAAGTTTGAGAAAGACAAACCAGAAAAAGAATACAAAGGGAAAGAAGTCAGGGAAAATCAAAAGTAAAAAGAAACAAAGACTTGTCTTTGTGATCAATTGTTTACAGCCCATGAAGGTAAAGTCGATGTGTCAACTGGACACCCAGAGGTCTATGCCAAACTGACTGTTTTAACAAATACTCATGGTCAGTGCCTATTACAAGACAGTGACTTCTCCATCACCACAACTCTGTCAATCAGGGTATCAACACTGACAAGAGGTTGCTGCTTTCATTACCAGCTGACACTGCTAAGAAGAAACTCAACGGCTACTTAGACTGAAAAGATAGTTGTGCAAAGTGATTATTGTAACTACACCAAACACCTTTAGTACAGTACTTGCATCCACGCTATTTTTAACTTCCATATCTGCCATATTTTTACAGAATTTGTTCTAGATTTCCCTGGTTCCTAATTCACAGTCTATTCACAATACTGTCACTATTTTTGTAAATGAGGTTTAAGTTTAAAAAAAAGTATCTGAGAGCCCCATGTTTTGACTCCACAACTCTCTCAAACAATCAGACAAGTGTTTTGCCCTAGACATAAAATTCTTGCTCAAAACCAGAAAAAAATTCTAATGATAAAAATTTCAGGTACTTTCATTTTCTAGATGGCTTTAATTTTGAAAGTATTTTAACCTGTTGTTTGTTTATATCTCAACAGTTATGTGCCTGTAAAGTGTCCTCTAATTTTTAAAGGATTATTTTTATGCAAAGCATTCTTTTTCAGCAAGTGCAAATTTTATTCTAAGTTCCAAAGCTCTATATTTAATTTTGGTTAAATGCTTCCCAAAAAAGTAATCTCATAAATCTGTTCTAGAAAAGTATATCTAGAATATGGCTTTAGAATAGTTGTTCCACTTTCTGCTGCAGTACTGCTTTGCCATCTTCTGCTCTCAGCAAAGCTGACATTTATGTCAATTCAACACCCCCTGTTATGTAAATAGTTATTTTATCCTGTGGTGCATTTATATATTTTGGGCAAATATATATATATATATTTACTTATATATATAGAGCCTGACAAACAACTTCTATTAAATCAAATATGTACCACAGTATATGTGTTTCTTCCAAGCTTCCAACAGGGACGTATACTGTACCGTTCACTAAACATAAATAGCTTGAAGACTATCACTAATGCATGTTAATATTGCCTATGCTGCTCTATTTTACTCAATCCATTCTTCACAAGCCTTGGTTAGAAGAAGTCACATGGTGGTGGTAGACTGAATTCAAACAGCTCTCTGTCCTTTTTGTCAAGCAGAATAACTTGCAGTTATTTAAAAGCACCTTTACTTTTGCGTTTTTAAATCAACTTCAGTGTCATACAGTGTCTCTCTAGATTTCAAGGATACATACTGTGTATTGACTATTGTCAAAACTTATACTTCATATTTTGCTAAAAATATATCCAAAAATTGTTTAAATATAAATAATGTAAAAATATTATCAATTTTATTTGTTGCACTTTGTACATAAGAAAATTATTTTCAGGTTGATGACATGGCAATTTATTTTACTTTATGCTTTTGCTTTTTATTTTTAATCACAATTCCAAACTTTTCAATCCATATAACTTTTCAATGGATAATTTCCTAAAATAAAAGTTAGACCATGGGTTTTCTGCATTTCTTTGCTGTAATATATTTTCTATCATTCCAATAGGAGATATATTGGTCAAAAATTCAACTGTACATCATTTTCTACCAACTAAATTGCCTCAATATAACCCTTTAGTCATAGGTTTTTTTTTTTTACTCAACTTTTGTAGTATTTGCTTATGCAAAGTAGTCTTATTTTTTTAATTCTTGCTACTAACGCTATTAGAGAAATAACGGGCTCTGTCCTTTTTAGCCATGAACAAGGTGGCAAAGCTGTGCAATTATCTAACATGATATAAATTTTTGTTTTTTGCACAAACCAAAAGTTTAGTGTTCCTACTACAGACATATTTACTTGTAGTGTGTTCAGCTGCATGCAGGGAATTGCTATTACTGAAAAGAATGGTGAGCTATATCATTATTGAGCCAAAAGAATAAATATTTCTTTTTCTTTTTAGATTTAATTTCTTGGCCTCTGCTTTTTCTTTATTGTTCAAATTTTAAAATATAATTAATGAAAACTGTACTTGATCTGACATTTGTATACATAAAAGTTTACATAAATTACAGCATACTGCATGACCCACCAAGAAGTACTACAGAATAAAGGCTATTAAAAGCAGCTCTTGTGAACTTTTGTGTGTGCAAAGGATCAAAGCCACATGTCCCAACTTGTGGTTTTGGTAACAACAGTAGCCATCTAAATGGTTGTCAATTCCAATTAATTCCCTTAGCTATAAGATTTTAATCTCAACTCCTTTCAATGTAATTGATACCATCTCTAAATTCTTGGTAGTTAAAAATGTTATACACTTTGATATTTAAATGTATTATATCAGCTCCTATTTATACATAAAGTATTGATGCAGTGACTGAGAATTTATATTAACTATCTTTTTCAGGGTCCTTTATGTCAGGTCTAAACCAAATGTTTATTCTCAATGGAAAACTCCACTTGTAATGCATATTTTTTTTGAAGATGAATTGGATCTAAATATGGATTTCATAATTTCCCCAATAGAAATGATATATGGTGACTTAACTGGAATTCACTGGCTTCTTTCTGCTTAAGTCAATTTTCAGACCTTGCCAACACCACAGAGAAGTCAAATATTATTTTGTAAAATCCCTAGACTTTTTATGTAACCTATTATATAATCATTAACCAAACATTCTATTAATTGATATGCATTATATCTAAATGATTGTCTTCCAAAATAGAAGAGTTTTAATTGGAAAAAAAAGAGCACTTTGAAAAATATACATATTTAGCTAACATATTCTGAAAATACTGCTCAGAATCTAGAGCTGCTAATGCAATAGATACTTTTTAAATAGCTCCACACAAAAAAATTATTCTATTATTAAACTTCATGATAGAATTCTGTTTTTAAAAATAGAAAATTAACCAAGTTGGAAACAGAAATAGCCATAACATGAAATTAAATAGTATGAAACTTAAGTTCACCAAAAAGTAATACTAAATGGCTGCCATTAGTAAATAAAAACTATCTATATGGAGAGAAAATGGGTATTCTGGTTTTCAAATACTGTAGCCAAAGATAATGGCTATATAATGTGTCTTACTCATTTTCAAATAACTAGGATACAATACAATAACATGAATATCACTCTTGTGCATTTCAAACCACTTAGTAGTAACTGTAAAGATCTTGCTGACCATTCTTGTGGAAATGGAAAATACAAAAAGAATTGGAACAAGTGATTCAACACTTGGCTTTTACTATTATCTGGCATTAAATTAGCAGGCAAATTGTGGCCCCGCATATTCCTCTTCCACTGAATGAAGATGCTGAACTGGGGACGCTGTGTCACTAGTAGGCCTTTAATTTTAAAATGCTATGTTCAGAATCAAATTGTCTATTCAAACTAAGTAATTTCTCTATGTGGGCAATACTTAAATCAGAAAGATGTGTATTGCTAATAAACCTTTTATAACCTTACCCAGACAACTTTAAATAGAAATATAACATTTGGCCTTGACTTTAGCATCATTAAGAAAAAACTCTGTATGTCCTCAAAGATTTTACACCAAAAAATTGAAGGATACTTTAAATAATTGGAAGGGTGGCTATTATTTCTTATGTTACATATTTCCAAAAATAACACCTGATACATAACAGAAGAGATTAAAACAAGAATCACTAGTCACATGTAAAACTGTCCAGAACCACAAATGTACTTAACTTCTTTGTCACTAGTTAACATTTGTCACAAAACTTCAAGTTGGGCTTAAGTCTTGTATTCTCTGGGGTACTTTTTCTTATTACACAAGAATAAAAGAAGCATATGATTCCCTTATAACATCATCTAAGGCATTATATTGTTTTCACAGAGAAAGGAATTAATGATTCAATGCATCCATGCTGCTACTGACTGCTGTGTGTTTTTTCACAGGCAGTACTTCTCTCCTCTTCTCTCCAGAATCTCTCTGTTCGTCAATAATTCTGGTAGTTGACATATTAGTTTAGAATGTATTTGTTAATTCTAAATAGAAAATTACTTATGACAGGAATATCATAAAATCTTCCAAATCTCCCACATATTCCCAAATCTCCCACACATTAAAATATGAAATGTCTAAGAACAGAGGATTTTCAAAAGACCATTTTAATGTATGCCAGGAAATGTAATGCGTACAAGAAAGCAAGGGAAGCCCCCTGGAGCTAACAGAGAAAGGTAAGCAAGCACTCAAGCCAGAAGCTATTCTGTGGGCTTCTAAATATTGCTTTTAATTTAATACTAATTTAATGCCATATGCTAGTACATATCTGAAACCTTCAAACCTGTCACTATTCCATTGCTCAGAGAATCAATTTTCCCTTCTCATGAATTTTTAAAAAATCCCTGCATAATCTGCCCCTCATATATCCCACTGCTAGAGGCTGTCCTTGGCCACCACTCCACAATGCATGCCCCTTCCCTGGTGGAATCATGTAATCTCCAATTATACAATGTTTCGACATCTCTCTTTTCTTGACACACGTTACTGTCTTTGCCAATTATCTCTTCTAATCGATTGTAGTATGTCCAAGGTATAGGACACATGTCATTAATTTTCTCTCCCTTTATCAGCAATGACTTGCAGAGTACATAACTATCAGTATTCTGATATGTTGGAAGCAGAATTGATTCTTTCAGGAACACACAAAAATATTTGTGTCAAGCAGTATTTTACCAGTAAATTTACCAGTAAATTTTATTTCAGTCCTTACTAAGGACAACTCTCAGATGTATTAGCTTCTAAATTCAGATAAAATCATTTTTACAAATAGCTGAAAGACAAACACATTGGAAATACTACATACTTTGTAACTATGGTTTACAACTAATGTGTTACCTAAAAAAAAACTATTTACCTATAGCTTTTCTTCTTCCTTTCTAATTACAACCCTTAAATAGAATTCATGCCTCATATCGAATATACCGAGTATCATAATTTTTCCAAGTGGTAAAGATACCTCAAGACAAATACTGGGCATAAAACCCACAGGGCATAAATCTGCAAAGAAGTAAAAAGCTAACCTTTGCAAACAATATGGCTTCTCTCTCACTTACCAACTTTACATTTCCCTGTATGGCCCCGGAAAATGACTGGTTAGC